TTGTGTCAAGACTTCACATCTTTTGGAAATCATGTCATCAGTGATGTGGCTTAAGTATTCTGTTTCCAAGGGTTGCCCAAACTATTTGTTCTTCTGAAGACAGTCATAGAGAATACAAACCACAGCACAAGAGTGTCCTCTTTGCCCAGTGCCTTCTGTGCCTGGTGGAAAGTGTTAAGCAAAGGTCAAAGCCACATGGCAACAGGACATCCAGCTCCTTTTAGCTTCTAGAGGAGATAGCAATTCCCTATGGCAGGATCAGGTCCTTCACCCCCAGCAGAATGTCCCTGCCAGGACATGGCATGGACCATTTGGTGGGGCCTTCTGCCCCAAACACCAGGTGAGCAGTGGAGGCACAAGGAAATGCTGCTGACCTCATGTCCACAGCCTCTCCCCTGGCCCCTGCAGGTGCTGGCAGCCTTACACTGGACCCTGGTACCTACAGCAATGGGTAATGACTGCCACAAGAACAGCTGTGACCAACTTAATGTCTGTGGATGCTAAAACATTGGGTGTCATGAAAAGCTGTTTGCCAAATATCCAGATTTTCTCTGCTCAAGTCACAGCAAGGACAGGAGGTAACAACCATGATCTTCAGTGCAGACCAGCAGTGGCTGTGGGCAGAGCAGGATCCCTGGGGACAGGGCCCTCCAAGCTGACAGCAAAAGCAGCAGTACATTTCAGGGTGGAGAAGGGCTGGTTCATGTTCACTGCCTATAGACTTCCCTGATTCTCCACAGAGAGGAGTGGGATTCCCTGCCTGAGAGGCTGGAGATGGTAGAACAAGGGGGTACACATGGCATGACTAGAGACTCATTGACTCCTGCACTCAGAGGAAAATCTAGGGGTAGGAGGACAGCAGGAGAAAAAAGAATGACTTGGTCTTGGGATGGGTGAATACTGGATGAACAAACAGACCTTGGCCCAAGTGAGTTAAAATAAAAAGTAAATCGATGGTGTCTTGCCAGTTTACTCCACTGGAGTCTATACATATTGGTCTCTGTATGCACAGGAGAAAACTTTAGGTCAGACTGTAACCCTGCTCTGATCCTCCTGCACTTTAATGCATTTAATCACCTCGCCAAGGACAGAACTTTCCAGAAGTGGCAAAAACCTGCCAAGAGCTACCCCTGGAGAAATGAAAACTGAAACCTGTTCCTCTTTGCACAGATGGGTTAGTGCTTGGGGCTCCAAGGCAGGGAGCCAGTGGAAAACCTCAGCCAGCAGAGCAGGTATGGCAGCTCCATGCTGATGGAGGATTCGTGCTGGATTAGCAGCACAGACCACCATCACACCACCTATGGAGAGAGACAGATCAAAGCAGTGAAACACACAAAGCTCACCTGAGGAGCATCACCCAGCAGGTTGCTCTCCTCTCTTCCTCTTGCACAACACACAATGCCCCACTGGGAATGGGCAGAGGGAAATTTTTTCCTCCAGTTCAAGCATGGTATGTTCTGGGGTTTTATTGTTTTATAACTCAATAGCTAATAATAGTTGTGTAGCTAATTTAACAGGGCTTCTGGTGTTACTTGACTTGCTCTAACTTAAATGAAGCACTTAGACTGAGTACTTCATTGAAATAATGCTAAAACTCTTGTCATGCACCAGGCTCCTCCCGTGAACTTCCAGAAAATGCTCCTTCAAAGATAGTGAATTATTTACAGCTTAGCCCTGCCTCCTCCCAGTTCCTTGTGGAGCCCTTCCTTGGGGACCAGAGGAGTTTGCCTCACTTGTTAAATTTGCTGTTAACATTCACTGTTAACACCTTTATGCACAGCAGTACTGACAAAGGTAAGAAAGAAAGGTTGGTGTACAGGCAGAGGGAACTAATGTCCATAACCATGATTTGCACGAGAAGACCACTCACAAGCATGTCTGTGTCCTTCCTGCAGCATGGCAGTGAGTCCCAGAGCCACAGCACCAGCTCCCAGCCCTGGCAGCAGGAGGAGAATGCTGATCCGTGGGACCCAGCAGCTGGGCTGGGGTGGCCTTGGCAGCTTGGTGAGGGCACAGACTCTCCACACAGCAGATCTTTCCTGACCCCACAAAAAAAGTCTGGCTTGCTCTTTCCTGTAAAACTTTTCTCAGAAGGTCCTTTCTAGGTGCCTACCCAGAGAGTGCTTCAGTGTTTTTAAAAAGTTGGTCTCCTGAGAGCCCTATTCTTATAAGAGAAAAAAAATCTCATTATTCAGAAAGAAGCTTAAAGTTTTTTATCTTCTTAGTGGGTTTTCTTGGCCATCCACATCCCCTCAAAAACATATAGCTACTCTTCTCCAGGCTGGATCACTCTTTCAACCCTGTCCTGAACTCCAGACAGCCTTCTCCCTCTCTCCTGTCATTGCACAGAGTGGATTTATGGCTTTCCACACTTATTCTCGAAGTTTAATTTTGCTTGGAAAGGCTCATGCAAAATTTTAGCTACTTGATTAAAATCTTGATAACATGGCCTTCACAGAAATTGTGAAGCTGGGCTTGGCTTCCTCTGCCAAGCTCTTCCTTGTGAATTCTTTGGGTTCTAGTAATGGAACTGTATTAAAGTATTATAAAGATAATTTGTGATGATAAAAATAAAACCTGAAAAGAGATTTTTGACAACAGGGTTTCTTCCCATGCAGAGACAAGAAATGTGTGTCTTTCCCCCATTGCCTATTTTCATCATTGAAATGTGGTGCACCTGAATCTTTGGTCCATCTGTCAAATGTATTTCAAAATTGGTCAGCAAGTTCAAAAGATTTTGGTGGAATCTGTCAGGCATGACAGATGACTGATTAACATTAGCTTTGTTAGAGATGTGTATAAAAAGCTCTACAGAGGCATCTGGACAGGCTGAATTGATGGCCCAAGGCCAATTGTCTGAGGCTCAACAAGGCCAAGTGCTGGGTCCTGCACTGGGGTCACAACCACCCCATGCAGAGCTACAGGCTGGGGGCAGAGTGCCTTGCTCTTTTGGGTCTTTTGGAAGACTTTAACTTAGGCTTACTGTAAACCTGGGGTAACCTCTTCTCTGTTCAGGTGCCGTAAGTTTAACCTTGGTTTAGGTTACAATTTTTCTATAGCAAACCATCTTCAAGCTTGATGAGAAGCTGAACTGCAATTTTAGGACGAGATGATCAGGAATGCTGCTGTGCTGAAGCTCGATGATCACCAGCTGATAACAGTGCACCTCATTGTTTTTAAAATTCCTGTGGACATTAGTAATGACATGCTGACAATACACTATATGATTATGGTTTCATAAAAGACTCTGAGTCCTTAAAGAAGAAAGAAGAAAAACTTGATTCACGGTGTTGCACACACCCAGACAAATATTCATCTTATCTTATTAGACTACTTTTTGTGGTAGTTTTTCAGGTTCTACAGACTTTGGTGGGCTTTTATGTGAAATGTTTAAAAAGGCACACTTTTAAAACATTTTTAAAGAGGAAGTAGGTTTCAAACAAAATTGCTGGCAACTGTGTTAGCCCCCCACAATCTTCCCCCTCTATTACCACTGGGAAATGTGGCTGACTTTAGTGTAAGTTTATTTGTCTCAGACTTTACTTGCTATCTGTCTAGACACTGTCAATTACTAATATGTGTACTCAAGGCAAGTGTAAGGATACTCAGTATTTTCTCTCTCAATATTTTTATGATTAAATTTATAGGGAGAACAGATCTGACCCACTATATTAATGTTTGTCATTTAAGGCAGATGCCAGATTGTCCAAAAGAAATTGAAGACCTTTGCATTGATTCAAAGTAAAGAAGTTGTGATAATTACTCTGAATCTCAAAGGTCTTCTTGAAGTTTGTATAATAGGAGTAATATTTTCCTTGGGAATCCCCTCCACTCCCCAAAAAAATCAGTGAAGTGTGGGAAGGCCAAACCCATTTGGATAAATCAGCTAGTAAAAAACCCCTAAAGCCGCTGATATATATACTCTTAATGATAACTGATGGTAACGGATTATTACTTTCATACACATTTGTCAGTTTTTCTTTATATGAAGACATTTGTGTACTTTACTCTACACTAAGCCACTGAATCCTATTCCCCAGCCCTGAGATACCTGCTCCTCAAGTTGTCTTGAAAGCAAAAGTCAGCTCTTTGTGTGAACACTGTTTGAGTCAGGAGGCAATAGAAAATAGGCTCTAGGGGAAAAGGAGAAAAAAAAATACTTTGTACCTTTTTTTTCCTTGAAATATGCAACTGAGAGCTAATAGAACTTAATGCCCCTATAAAATATCTTAACTGGCCATCCCAGGTTAATAAACTCTGAAGTGTGCAGTACTAGAAGCTGCTTGAATGCTCGCTGCAGTAAGGAACCCCTACAGTGTCCTCTTAATATGAGAAAGGATTGCTCCTTTTTGCTCCCCAGAGACAGCAGGTGATGCAACATCAAACTGGTGGAGATACACATCTTCAGCTCGTGGGTTCACTTCGCTGCTCTCACTGAGGCACCCCATTCATATCCATGTTTAGCAGTTTTACAGGGGTTCTGGGAAGATATTTATTTGTTATTCCTTATTAAAGCTGTTCTATCACAAATAGATCACTTGCACATACTGCAGGGCAGGATGTCCAAAACCCCCAAAAGCTTGTCTGCTTGGCCCTGGCTGGGGCCACCAACCTTGCCCCAGCAAACTTGGACTGGACAGAAATGCTCAGAGCAGGGCAGGGACTGAATTGATGACCCCTGCTTTGGGAATGTACACTCTCCAAGTGGCACTTCCTTTCAGTGCATCATCCTTCATCATATAACTTTTCATACTGGCTGCCTCAGATCCCATTTGGAAGCCATGATTCTGTGATTCAGATAATTAAAATCCCTTCTAAGAGCTGGCCTTTCTGTTTATTCCCATTCAGTTGTGTTACATAAATGTCTTCCTAGTGCAGAAACATCAGGAGATGAATGCTTGCCTGGCTAAATGTAACGTGTACCGATTGGTTGGTCCATTTCCTCTATTTTTCCTGGAGTGTTCTCAAACTTTAACTTTTTTTCTCAAACTTTTTTCTAGGGGAAAATAAATATACTTAGTTTATGAAGTACAAAGGAAAACTTCACACTGTGGCAAGCCACCTCACAGCACAACAGCAACAGTGTGCACCGCCCCGGGAAACACAGGAAGCCGCATCCCAAAGCTGTTGTTTACTACAAAGCTGCAACAATCTGCAGGGGCAGCACTACCTCGGGAATAAAATAAAATTTAAAAAGAGGAAAAAATCAAGCGGGCAAATTCCTTTGCCAAAAAATAAGTTTGCAAACTAAATCTGGCAGATTTGTTTTAGCAACTTCAGCAATCTCTTGGACTGGAAGTAGAATTAATTAAAAGAAGTTTACTTACTGTGTTAATTTAGTATGGAAACATAGGGGTCACAGGGCTCATATGTAAGGGGAAATTCATTCCAGAAATAAAATGTGTGGAAAAATGTCTACTCATATTGGCTTTCACATTAAAGAAATATTTAATTTGGCAGGATTTAATAGTCTTGGTTTCCTTACCGCTGCATCATATCCAGCTATTCCTCATACTGAGACTGGATTAATAAATGTCCTACATGTATCTTCAAAAGATGTAAAAAAAACCTTGCAGTTGCCAAGGAAGGATGCCAATTCCCAAAGATGCAGGAATGTTGTCTTCAGAAGCAGTCATGCCCCATTATTTTTTTTTCTATTCATACTCTGAACATGTGTTCCATGGAGTTGCTCTGTACTGTAAAGTTAACATATGCCTTGAATGATAGGTACACACCTGCATGGTGCACCTTTCAAATAGGCTACACTACCAGAGCTGAAAGCAGCTCTAGCTAAGAGAGAATGCCACTTTCATATATCCTCAGAAGGTCCATTCCATAACAGTTTTGTTTTTCTTTCCAATCCTTTGTTTCAGTCAGTTTTAGACAGGACTTCTGGCTCTAACAGTTATTTTAAAGTCTCAGGAACTAGACTCTGAACAGGCCAGAGGCAAGGCAAAGGTGTCAACTGTTCCTTTTAAGCAAACAATTATGTAAATAATTTTAATAAGCAAGCTGCTAGTCTTAGCATAAAGGACAAAGCTTGAACCCAGACTGAGCAACAATCAAATGGAAATCTTTGATTTCTCTACAGGTGTTAGTAATACTAAGTAGCATAGGTAATAGTAATTTCTGAAATCCAAATTTCACAAATGTAGAGCAGCTTTTATGTTTCTCTCATATTGGAATGTAGAAAAAATGGGGACGCACCTCAGTATTTCAGCCATTTTAAAGCCAACAAAAGTTTCCAAATACCCTGGCACACATCCCAAGGGAATTCCTTTGAATTTAAAAAAAAAACCCCCAAAACAGCCAAGGGAATTCCTTTGAATTAAAAAAAAAAAACCCAAAAACAAAACAACCAACCAAAACAGACTCTATTGTTCTCTTCCATTAAAGAACCTCATGTAAACACCACATGTTTTTTATATCCTGACCAGCTTGGCTCAGGGCTATCGAGTGACTCCGGAGCTGAACTAGCATCTGGACAATGTCTACTGGCTGGTCCCCTGCTCAGGGTGCTGAATTACAGTCTCTTTACACAGAAGGTTTAACTGATGCTAATCTCCAATCAGACTGAGACAAATCAGTTTAACATTTGATCACCTGAGCATCTTCTCTACACAAAACTGTGCACTCTGCTGTCTTTAATTCAATGCATACAAGAAATCTACAGCTCCAAGAATTGTTTCTGTCACCTTTTGTAGTCGCCCTTTGATTTTTATAAGTTAGCTTGTCTCAATGCCTTCAGCAAACTCTTGGGAAAAAGGACTGTACAGGTGCACACCTTATTCTTTAGTCAAGTTACTAATACAATTAGTAAAGGACAATCTCACAGCAGTAAACTACTTATACCAACTAATGTCATAATATGGTAATTACAAAGACAATAAAACTAAATTATAAAAACATAGTCTCTAGTAATTAGAGCCCTGGACTACTGAATAACACTATAGAGAATGAAGGAAAAGCAACTAGTCACCAATTCTTTGCTGAAGCAGGTGCTATTTTAATAGCTACACATGAACAAACAATATCTGCTTATTCACCATTTCAAAATACAAAACTAGCTTGGCTCTTAAATTGCTTAATGCAAGCATATTCATCACATCTCAGTCTCATAGGTAGAAGGCTCACGTAATTTTCTGGGTGAAGGAATATTTCATATAATCTCAAAATAATCACTGCTTGAGACTTCTGTAAATCAACATCTCTATTTGTAACTAGCTATCTTTTCCTTATGCCCAGACTAATATATGGCCAAAGCAAGGAAAAACAAAAGGTCAGAAGAAGCAACTAAAGTCTTGGTATGGAAAGAGCTCTGTGTTGAAAGGCTCCCCTATTACATCCAACTTGCTTACTGGACAAGACTGTACCTATACTAATAATCACTACCATCATCTGACTCTTGCAGCAAAACTTTGACACTTCTCAGCAGGCAGAATCAGACCTTTACCTTTCACCCTCAACAAAAAGTGTAGGTAATTAACAGATTTTCCTGTTTACAAACTTTGCAATATTTCAGAACATCAAGCAGATATTCTAAGACGTTGCTTTTCCTTTGAGCAATGAGAACACAACAGACTCCTTATTAAACATTCTGTTTATGAAATGGTAAGTGAAACTGCAGTCTAAGGACACAGACCAAACTCCTGTAGGCAGAGCCTTATTACAGTAACTAGAAATATCATCAACTTTTAGATATACATATTCTTATTGAGAACTCATGTACCTGAAAACTCCTCTACTTTTCTTAGGTAATCTGTAAGTAGTGTAATAAATCATTAGGAGGTTAATTCTACCTGTAAATCTTGCCTGGCATGTAGTTTATGCATGGTAGCTCATAATTAATCACCATGAACTGTATGACAATAACAATTTCTTGGGCAAATAAGAAATTGCAAGGGATTGCATGTTCAAAATCATAATTTATTGATGTATTTTTTAATCATGTAGCTCCTTGCAAAGATACAGTTTATAAATTATAGAACAAGTATAGTTCTTTCCACAGCTTTCATATTTTAGTCCTCAAGTCCAGATCAGTATTTTGATACAAGACGGTCAAAGGTAAATTATGCAAAATGGCTTTAAAAAAACCTACAGTAAAAAGCTTCAGTTCTTCCAGGATCCAAGATACACACATAATAAGCAGCATTACAATGTCTGCACTACACCCCCAAGCGATATATGCAGGAGAAGCAGCGTACAGTACCTGTACCAGACCTCAAGGAACACTTCATGATTAGCAGTACACAGCACCTGAACATCTACAGCAGCCTCAAAATTTATTTAGTAAAACAAATGCTCAAAGGGTTTACAGCATGTGTGGCAAGGTTAGATGATGGGCAGTAACACATTACAATCATGTCCAAGTGAGCCGTGCTTAGCTGTGCATTCACACCAGGCCAGTGCACAAGCAGTACACACCACCATTTCACCCCTGCACTGTGACACCCCCCAGGCAGGGCCACATACCTGCAAACTCGCCCTACAGTACAAGGGAACAACTCATTGCCTGTATCCCTCTCCCCTCCACGCACATCCCGTGGAGAAGGCAGGCTCCACTGAACTTCTACCAAGATCAAGTTACACTGATAACCAACTGACTGCATTGGTGGGGATGTACCTCTGCAGTTAAATTTTATATTTTGTGTTTGCTTGCCGTTGACGGTTTTTCCTTAAGGTTGATGTCAACAAAATGCCAGATCTTAAAGGTAAACAAAATAAGTTTAATTTAAAGAAAAGATTTATTTGAAGTTCTTTTAAGTCACAGAGTTTAACAGATGACAACTTTCTCCCTTTTCACATTTCGAGTCCTCATCAGAGACCATACACACTGTCCCATGGACAGTGAGGTTTTCCTATTGATTCCTTTTGAACTAATTGGAGTCTAGGCAGATGAACATTCACATTTTAAGAAAACTGATTTAAAAATATTTTTTTAAAAAACTGAACACAACAAAACTTTATCAAATTCTTATCACAAATAAAATGTGCTTAACACGCATAAGCTTCTCAAAACAAAAATCAAAACAAAATCCCAGCAACTCACAATCAAATAGAACATACTGCCTTCAAGAAATTTCCCAGAATTTTAAAATGCTCCAAATATATACACATTTATAACTTAAGTGCTTATTAGCTACAACCTTTTACTCATGCAAAAGTTGTGAGAGGAGAAGGTGTTTCTTAGAGCGGCTTTTCTGAATATGCAGTAAAACTCTTCACTCGTGCAAAGAACAGAGGGGTGTACATTTTGTCAATGTCGAAAGTAGTAACAGCTGTCTCACCAGTTGATCTGCAAAGAGCATTGTAAAAGTTAAATTAGACACAAGCTGCTGTTTGAGTCCCTCAGGCAATCGTGTTCCATAGTACAGTGTGTGCATCAAACTACAGTAGGAATAAAGTGTCTTTTTTAATGCCTCGTTCTGAAAGCACTTGACTTTTAGCTGAGTAATGCTATACAGAACATCCATAGCTAAGAAACCACTTTCCCTTCCCACTCTTATTATGAGATCCAAGACCTAAGCAGTACAGAAACTTCACGCTGAAAAGAATGTCTGCAATATAAATTAGGTATGACAACATTAGCTTTTACAAAAGCATTTTTTCTGTTTATGGAAGTACCTACACTCCCAAACCCCAAGTAGTTTATTTCCTGCATTTTATATTCTCACAGCTCAAGAGCTGAGCTATGTTCCTATAAAAACACTGAATATTAAGAACACTGGAAGACAAGGACTAAATCCACCCTAACTGGCAACATAAATCTGGAAAGCCAACTTGCCAGTTATTTGAAGTGTCAGATGCAAGAACAGTGGTCATGGCTCCTGCCTGGTAAGTGATCAGAACAGCTGATCACAGGCCCATACACTGCACTGCTGGATTATATAGTTAGGAACATTAGAGTTCTCACATGAAAAGTACAGACTTTAGTACTTGAGTCTGCACATCCACAGTGGAACAGATATGTATCTGAATGAATACACAGTTTCTACACACCCTCACTAACACCACATTAAGTCATTCAACCCTGATTCAGTTCTGAAATCAAACACTATGCATAAACCCTTTAAAAAGCTAAAAAACTATAGTTATTCTACTTAGGACACTTCCTGTTATCATTAAAACAGGTTACTAAAATCTTGGGATTTCTTTACATAAAGTTCATTATGTATTTAAAATCAGGACCAGTTACTGTTTTCATTACATTTTGTTAAAGCCACTTAAGTCTCACACTCTTTACATTTTCTGTACTTAGTACTGGACAAATCAACGTCACCTTTAATTCTACAGTTTAGTATCTTTCTTTGCTCTTATTCTCCCTTTACTCACCTGCAAGTGATGTGACAAGAATGATGTATCCACACAAGTTTGTTGAACCTCTGGCGCCCACTGGAGCACAAATGTAGTCCTACATGGAAACTGTGATCCGTTTCTTGAGCAGGAACTCGGCGGAAATACCTGTATTTATGGTAATCAACTGGTTTCTGTACAGAGAAATAAGAAGTTTCATGACCTACAAAGAACACATTGTGCAACTATTTATCCTAAGTAACTGTGAGACCAGACTGGTACAACTCTCATAGTTAAAAACAAGTACTACTGGTCCTTCAAAATACATAAATGTGTACGTTAATGATGGAAGAAGTTTTCACAGAAAGCAAAAGAAGCATACAGGACACCACCCAAATGTGCATAGTCACTGTGACACTTCTTACTCTTCACAAGTTTCTCCACACTAGCACTTTGGTCATCAGAAGAATTTTTAAGTTGACCAAATCATTCAGAGTTCAATTAACGAATACTGCTTATCTAGTTTTACTAAATGTTGTGGACCATAACTGCACACAGTCAAATCTGTTCTGAGAAAATGAGAATCATCCTTCTTTCCCGTTAACAATGTTGACTCCTAACAGCACTATAAATGGAAACTAAGCCTAAAGGGGGAGAACAACTGTTTAAATATGAACCAGGTATTTATTTGCCTTAATAAATTATTACAGATTTAGGGACAAATGTGACATCACCATGCTTATTTATGTTTTATTTTTAAACTGTTAAAAAATTAATTTAATTTTTAAATCTTTTGGTGTAAGGCAAATCTTTGGGTCCCTTAAAACACTCAGTCTGAGTAAAATCTTGTTTATCTAGTTCTCCTCTATTCTGTTTTTCTACGTACCTCATCCTTTTTCTTCATTATTACAGCAAATACTTTGGTTTGATTGTCTGTTTCCTGGGAAAGGCGATAATGGCCAAGCAAGATTGCATCCGTTCTGGAAGGTAAAAAAGGAGGATAATGTCAAGAATACAAAAAATGTCTCAAAAGTGTGATGTTGTTATAATACAAGTATCAGCAATGAAACAAAGACTGACTACATAGCATAATGATACAAACTATTTCTTATTTCCATTCAGTAAAGCCTAATCAATGATATTAAATGGTGAAAACATTTTGGAAATTTGCTTTTAATTTTCCCAAACAGAACTGTAAACATAAGTTAGTTGGTTCTACGTAGCCTACTGCTAAATATTTACAGATTTCTAGTGAACAGCCCAAACCTGTTTTGAAGTTGCAAATGGTTTTCTATGTTTTTATGTCCAAACATCAAAAAGTGCTAATTGCAACATATCCCACTGAAATCTTCACTTTCCTTCAGTGAAGAAAGTGTGAGAAGGCAGACAGTAACAAAATAATATCTTTAAAAGGATTGTTCCATCTACTTGCCTTAAAAATTTCAAATCACATAACCCACAAAGGAAATCTAATTACAGTATCAGGACCCTAAAATGAAAGATATCTTTATATAAAGATGAAAATTTTTTGTAGTTCTTATAAACATCTATAACACAATATAAATAACATTGTTTTGCTATGACAGAATATAGAATCTGAGACAAAAGTAAATAGAAATTTCTGGGTAAAAGCAAAATGAAAACTTAGAGCTAAATACTTTATTTCAATAACCTTGTGTTTTTAGTCCGTAAGCGAGGAACTATAGATTGAGGATCTTCAGGAGTTGTTAGCATCATAACTTGACCATCTGGAAAGAATCTCAAATACCTGCAAAAACATAATTACACAATGCAAACCTAGAAAATACATCCTTTTCCTGTTTTTTTGCTTTTAAAATCACAGATGTTACCCAGAAGGATTTAGAACTTAATTGGTAATAGCATTTGAAAACACATTTCTTCACACATAACAGAAAAAAAAAAAAGAGATCAGAAATCAAAAGAGAGTTATGAATATTGAAAGAGGAAGTTATGAAGTTTTATCACCTCTACCAAAGCAAGGTGGCTACTCTGGGATCAAAACTGACCTCAAGTTTCTCCATTCCTATCCGCTGAGACCAATGCAACAAAATCTCAATTACAGCATCAGTACAAAATTAGTAATGTCATGCAGACTTTTTCAGGTTCTGGCACCTGAATGATTTTTACAGTACTCAAGTACTGTGCTAATGGTTGAGACTACAGCAATAGCCACCAGGTTCAATGATGACGTTTCATCAGGTTTCTATGAACAGTTTCCAGCCTCAGAAGAGGCGGCAGAATGAAACAATAAATGCTGGGAGCATAAGATCAACAACAGCAAAAAAAATCAGGCTGAGGAAACAAATGGCAAGGCATTTACAGCAAGATGAGAAAGCTCAGCCTCTTGATTTTTATAACTGATTACACATATGCTAAATGACTGATCTTCTATAATCACATGTATTCTCTTTGCTGAATTGTGTCATGTGTTGTATCAGACATGGAAAGCAATCTGTAGGTAACTATTAATTGTTATAAGCCTTTAAGCTTTTGCCACGTGACATGGTTTAAGTGAGGATGAAACATGTTTCTAAGCTCATTTCTGATTATCACAGAATTCTATTATTAGATTCTATTTCTAAAACCTATTCTCAAAAAATACACATTGCTTTACACACTGTAGCAGTCCCATTCAGCTTTACAGAATGATTATTGTCTGTGATAGCCAGGGGTGGATTTAAAGAACTTAAGAGAGAAACATTTCACTCACTCATTGTACTACAGCTCTACCTGTAATATTCCACTTGGTGCCATGCTCTATAGAAACCATCAAGGGACTGTTCTCCTTGACGTATGTATTTTGTCTTGCTGACATATACACCTACAGAAAAGGAAGATATATGAACAAAAACTAAGAACATAAAATATTTATGATGAAAAAGCCAATAATCTAAAACTTTTGAGTATGGTTTTGTTACTTAAATACATGGAAGTTTTTATTTTAATCTCTTGTACCTTTCCCTTCTCTTTGCATATATTCTACAAATTGAAATTCACAAACAAATTCAGGTTAGGTCTAACAACATCACAAACATCAAACCCACCTGACTGTTTCTGTCACACATAGTTACAACTGTTTCCAATAGTACAGCTTACCATCAAATCGAACACGAGGCCTTTCCAAAAACATGTGCCTCCAAGATGTATACGGAACAAGTTTATTGCAGCTCCGGCCCCATATTCTCAAACAGACTTGATGCCAGATTTCAGGATCTCTAGTGAAAACAAGAAAAAAGCAAACCCCATAACTTCTCTACAAACCCCCTTTATCCTTTATACATCAAAGTAACACTCTCCTACTTAGTTTGGATGCAACTAAAAGAAACTTTCTTGAACAAAAATAGCTCATAATTTAAAACCCTTGACTAATTTACTTAATCCTGGAGTGTTTGAAAGCCTTTCCTCTTCCCAGTGAAACTGAAGAAAAGAGTGTCATTTTGATCCAAGTACAGAACCACAACACTGCAGCACCCTTGTTGCCATCTTATTGCAAAGGTTTCACGCCTTCTTGGTGATTTCTCATGGGCAGCTCCTCACAGCACTGACTCCTTCTTCTTCTCAGCATAGCCAAAAAACTTCATCTAACTTCTCAACCAGCCAACCTACTCTTTTACAATACCCATTCTAATTAGATCTAGCTGTGGCCTATTAAAGGCAGGCCTATTCCTAATGCTTGATAATTAGGGCAGCTGTAACTTCTTAGGGGTGAGATTACCTTCATCACTATCTCTATTCTCCTACATTCCATCCACCCACACACCCTGGCACTTCTCTGTGTGGCTATACAAGCATGACAACAGACCATATTTTGGAGACCTGAAACATTGATTTGCAAACAAGGTAGAGCAAGTAATACTTTATGCTAGATTTTTATTACAGTAAAGTCATCTATCTCACATACCATTTAGTAGTGTATTAAAAAACTGATTAGCTCTGTGAGGAGCTTAACATGAAAATGTCCATAGGAAGGAAAAGGACATACTAGTGCAAAAAAAGAAGTTTCAGTCTAGGTAAGTTATCTACAATACCTGGCACAAATGTAAAATCCTCGACAAACAAGAGATAGTTGCTCCAATGATCTTAGATCCAAGTCACTTGAAACCACCCATCGGAAAATGTACATTAGTACTTCCATAGGCAATGCTAAAAAGAGAAAAGAAATCCCTGTTAGATGCAACCTGTAAGTCAACAGGTTATTTATAATTCCAGGTTTGGCTTTTGCTTTCCATTAAAAAATCCTACTTTTCACATTGTAGCCCAATGCCAGAAAACAAAACAAAACAAAACAAAAACAAAACCAAACCAAAAAAAAATTAACTTAAGATGTCACTATGGATTAGATGTGACATCCATAAAAGATTCTTTTGATTCTTTTTAGCCTACTAACTTCTGAAGCCAATGTGATTTTAAAAAAAGTTTTCTTTCTGCTATAAAAAAGTCAGTAAAAAAGACACAAGACTGGCTGGAAAGACCAACATTGCTGCTCAAAGGACACATCTCCTGAGATCATTTTAGAGTAAGGTCTGCAACATCTTGTCTTTATCGGTAAAAAAAAGAAAATACGTTTTCCCAAGTGTAAAATGCATCAGCTATTAAAAAAAAAATAAAGTTTCCAAGCCTGTTTTCTTTATGTTTTGATTTGCTTCACTTACTTTTCTTTCCTTGACCAGAACAAAGGAGATCAGGCCAAGATTTCAAAGTGCAACTGATAATTTAGGATGCAGAACCAAGCCATCTGTTTTTAAGAGAGATCGTAGCTCATATACACGCTACAATTTAGATCTCATAAGGAAGTCTCAGGATAACTGTCCTAGAACTGAAGCACTGAAAGTCATTAACCTTCAAAAGACTTTCTAGCTTTGCTATTTAGTCTTTCTGACCCTAAAAACATACTTGTTGCAAAAATTTCCTGGAGTATCACATTAAACCAAGAAATGTAAAGATGCATAGTCTACAAAACAATTGTTTCTTACTCACACTTAGAAACTGTAGTAATAACTGTATTTGCAAACCAAACCAAAAGAACTGGAAGGAAAACTGGAATACACTTACTTCAGCAAGTCCATTCCTAGAAGTTGCTACTTTTAAGTATGCCTCTGATCCTGAAAATTCTACTCAGAAATACTATTTATGTGAAAATCTTGTGTGATAAAGACGTGGTATGAGAACAAGATTTGTTTACCTAGCTGACAATTTTTTTCTCCTTTGTATCTAACTACAGAAGTAAATAAAGAGATAATATAGGCACTTCTTCAAAGGTGGCTTTTGAATGAAGGAGACAAATGTTTTAATAAAGTGAAACGTCAATATAAATTCTGCCTCTCAACTCCTACAGCATATCTCAACTCTTACCTGAGATGTGGGTCTGGCTGACATAAACTTCGGGCTGACAAAGTTTGACTGAAGATTCCTGAAGAGTTAACTGCTGCTGGAAATCCGTCAGGAGATCTGCCATTTTGTCATCCTCTTTGCTATCCTCAACACTAGAAAAGGGACAATGCCAACACTGTAATATTGGACAAAACATACCAACATACGTTCTCATCTTGGCATCAATCCACTACTATACTCCCATTCAACAGAGTTGTTTCTTGTACATTTTTAAAGCAATCACATTTCATCATACAATAAAACAACTACTGAAATATGATCAAGGTCATTAAGACATTGCTGGAATGCCTCTGAGAGTAACAACTGGGGCTTTTTCATTAAATTCCCATCCCAGTTTTTTATTTTGTATTTCAGTTTTTTATTGAAGTTACTGAAGAATTTCTTGACCTCATGAGAAGAAAAATCTCATCTTTTACTTTGTCTAAGATATAGCATATGCAGGAAATAAAGTGTTGTTAATGAGAAGTTGTATTTTGTAATCCTTCTCATGATGTAAGATATTGGAAACAATTAAGAATTATTTTTCACGCTTGTGTTATTCACTAAAGTGGGATCTTTGGTGGGGGTATTCAACAGTAATGAAGGAAAACTACTTTTGTACCTATTCTATAAATAGGCAGAAATAATAAACTTCAGGAGCCAGAACAAAATAGCAGAACAGAAAACAAGCTTGCTACTCATCAGTAAATTTGAAGGATTACTAAGTGATAAAAGAACATTACCACATTAATAAAAGAAATCTAAATTTAAGTTGTATATCATAATATGATCTTCTAATAGCTGCCTGTTTGCTTGCCCCAAATAACCAGAAACGACAACACAAAACTCCTTGAGCAATCACGAACCAGCTTTTTTTCCCTGACTTGGTATACAGGCTAATTAAGAAATCTTACAGTACTTTTTAATACTGTTCAATTCTACTCTAATTCTACTCTAAACAAGCTAACAAAATTAGTTGAGAATATAAGCAAGCAACTAGTAGACCTACCAATGGGTTTTGAAGTACCATAGAGAAGACAATTATGTTTGGGTCTGTCCTAAGTAAGACTACAGTAAAATGTTGCACTCAACATACCTTCATTTTGATGATTATGATGGTCAGTCCCAGTACCTACAGGCCACACTGTAAATTGGTTTTTCAAACCTAATTGTGTAATTTGTTTTTTCTCATCAAGACTGTATGAAACACCTACAACAGTAATTCAGAAAGCACAAACTAAAATCTCTCCCAAGAAATACATTTCTACAAATACTGCTTTTGAACAGTAGAGTAACAGTTGAGACTACTGGTTATTTTCCCTCACTGCCACAAGGTGCTCGGAACAGTATAGCAACATTTAAAAAACCAAATAAAAATCCACACAAATTAGGTTGGAAAAGACCTCTGAGATCATCAAGCCCAACCATTCACCCAGCACTAAACCATGTCCCTAACTGCCACATGTACACATCTTTTAAATACCTCCCTGCATGGTGACTCAACCTCTTCTCTGGGCAACCTACTCAAGTGCTTGCCAACACTCTTTCCTAATATTAACAGCAAAGCACACCCTGAGGTCATTTCTTCTTGTCCTGTCACTTGTTATTTGGGAGAAGAGACCAATACCTACCTCTGCACAAACTCCTTCCAGGTGGCTGTAGAGGACAGTTAAGATTTCCCCTGAGCCTGCTTTTCTCCAGGCTAAACACCCCCAGCTCCCTCAGCTGCTCCTCCCAGGACTTGTGCTCCAGACCCTTCACCAGCTCCATTTCCCTTCCCGGGCTCACTCCAGCCCCTCAATGTCCTTCTCACAGTGAGGGGCCCAGACCTGGACCCAGCACTGGAGGTGTGGCCTCAGCAGTGCTGAGTGCAGGGGGACAATCCCTGCCCTGCTCCTGCTGGCCACTCTATTGCTGATACAGGCCAGGATGCCCCTGGCCTTCCTGCCCACCTGGGCACACACTGGTCATGTTCAGCCAACTATCAACCAGGACCCCATGGTCCTTTTCCAACACTCAGCTCTCCAGCCACTCTGTCCCCAGCTTGTAGCTCTGCATGGGGTTGTTGTGGCCCAAGCACAGAACCCAGTACTTGGTCCTGTTGAAACTCACACAATTGGCCTTGGCTCATTCATCCAGCATGTCCAGATCTCTCTGCTGAGCCTTCCCACCCTCCAGAAGGATCACTCCTGCCCAACTTCAGGTCAGAGAGTCTTAATGGAGTAGAGAAAATTATGCTAAAGAAAGAAAATAATCCTATAAAAACCAAGGTTTTTACATGACTATAGAGCATGATCCAGTAGTTTTCCTACTGCACAAATGCACAGCAAAGATTTCATGCTAGCAACACATTCAGATATGAAACTAATGGATAGAAATAAAGCACTTAGCTCATCTTGCATTCTTTTATATTAAGTCAACAGCTGCACTGGAACTGTACTGTCCTGGGGCAACAAGACTGAGCTAGTAATACCACAGTGACATGGTTGTGCTTTCCTTTTTAATTCTCCATGTTAAAACTCTTGATTTTTTGATGCAGCTATCAGGGGCACCAATAGCTGCTATGAGTAAGCAAGAATTTGGGAATCTGTTCCATAAGCTTGTCTGTGTTAGGCTGCAGGGGCTGGAACAGAAGTTTTGGCCCTCCTTAAACATGAGTCTTGGGCTCAAGTTAAGGCAGCCCTAAGTCACTGCACATCTGCTGCACTGAGGTTAGGGGTACTCTGATGTGTGTAATGATGAAAGACTAGATCACTCAGATTGCAGTCTCTGAGCTTCTAAATGTATGGCTCTACTGAAAATGCTCTTGTTTGGCTGTGTTGGCACAAGAACAGATTATTAGTTTGCTTAATTCAGATGCTTATTTTATTAGTATGAAGCTTTAACTAATTAATCGTTTTGCCATCTACAACTTTGTATATGATCCTAAATCTGAAAATCAAAAATCAAAATAGTGACCGATGCTTTTTTTAAATTAAGCAACAGCATAAGTATTTGTGATCCTTCCCCCTGACATTAGCTAGCTCCAAACAAGCCTGTTACTGTCTTCAAAAAATACAGTCTACTCAAGTGAGAGTAGGTAAGTTTTCCAGATACTAAGAGACATACAACTGCATATTACAGCAGAATATTGATATCCTTCAGAAACAAAATGTCATGTTTCAGTACTCCTATGCACTTAATTAGTAAAATTTTATACTTACCACCTCTTTCCAACTCCATCACCATCTGGGGACCGTGTATAGGTGATCTTAAATTCTATATCAGGTACAAGCTGCATGGCTAGACGATAAAACTTGATGGCTGAAAAGAAAGGTTTGATGTTCAAACATATCCAATGTCCATACTAGCTTACCAAAGCAAAAACTGCTTTCAGAGAGATGATTTCAGCTAAAAACACTAAAAAGGTGGGAAATGCCTTTGCCTAGGAAAGCTTGTTTAGTCTCAGCTGTTAGGTTTAAATTCAATATAGAAGAGGGGAACATTAAAGACCTATTTTCAAAACTAAAAACCTCATGTACTTTTTCAGAATAAAGAGTTAGCTCAGATGTGTTTCAGCTTTTACAGATTTACCTTAATTACCACAATCAACTATGGAGTAGAAAATTTTCCACTAAAACATTACAAACTCCTGATGTTGTTTGATGCCTGGCACTTGCTAAGATTTCCCAGAGAAAGAGGTTCAGGAACATCACTGTGGCAACAAACTGTTATTTAAGCTACAGAATGCCTTCCTCCTGAGTCAGCTCTGTGAATCCTTCTTAATTTAAATTAATTTGATGTATGCACATTCAATCTATTTTAATACCAGTAGTAAAATCATGTGGGCATGTATATGTTTCTCTGTATTCCAACCAAAACTCAAATAAAACATCAGTGAGGAGCTCAGAATTTGTCTGATGAGTCCGAGAAATCTCGAGTTTGGGACTAGTAAAAGTTCCCATTTCCTTGAGTTCGTGTCAGGGCCAGTGACTGACAAATAGTATCCTTTGGCTGTTGAGGACTGGAAATACCAGGAGCCAGCTAAAGAGAGAGCAGTCTCAACTTTAGCATTTAATCTTGCAGACAAGGCCTCTACTGTACTTAAGCAAGAACAAGCTGCAGCACATAACTGTCTCACAAACATCAGGTATCAGCAGATTTCAGAAGCAGGCTTGGATTCTGATGACCTGGGCCAGGTCAGCAAATAAAAGCCTGGTCTGAAAACAGATGTCCCAACATGTGCTCGGTAATATATCTGTCTGTGTCTGGCGTAGGACCATGCCTCTAAGGTCTCATACAGATCTATGTGTAGAAATAGCTCAGTTTAGTTTCTCTAAGTCTCAAATCAAATTCAGTTGAGAAAGATGAATTCACACTCATGCAATCCAGATGTCTGAAACACTTTTGTGAATGGAACTGTTAGATATTAGTATTTCTTTCCTGCTAAGTTTAACAAAAAAGGAGTGTACTGAAGCAGATGAAACCACAGCTTTCATTTTATATAGACAATGTTTAAATAGACCACTTTCCTCACCTTTTTTCCCTAATTTATTCAGAAAGAACCTTCACAATTGACTACATGATTTCCTAAATACGTACCAGATTTTTAGTGCTGACATATTTTTTTTACTGTGCATTTAATCCTTTACCAAACACTCACTGTATCTTAGCCTAAAGTAACTGTGCCCTGTAAAAACACGTAACAAATTAGAAACTAAGACAACTGATTTTATTAACTGCAGGGGACTCATATTTTTCTCAGTTAATATGAGATATAAAACAAAACCAGAAATCCCTCGAAAATGAAGGAAAATTCCCATGGTGAAGTGAAAATTTTGTATTCAGCAGGTGTCTGAGTTCAGGAGCTTTCAGAATTCTCTCAGATTTCAGTACCTTAACTTATTTTGCACCTGCACTTTAAACACAGTGGCCAAACCCTCTGGTGGATGAGAAGGATGGCACATACATTCTGCTTTGCTTTCTTTCTCACATGAAAGAATCAGAAAATTGGTATCTCCACTACTGAACTATAGGACTTGGAAGTTAGGACAGACTTCTTGCTCTCTAGACTCTGAAAACTAAATGTAAGAGAAAACCTTTGAATTTCCATTTTTACTAGTGTTGATAGCAAAAGTGCAGGTAAGCAAGCTAAGCACCTTAAGTATTTTATGACAAATCTCAAAGACTACCAGTTTTGAATGTTCACTGCAGGAATTCTTGAAAAAACTATTTTAGCATGCTGTGTTAATAAAAAACCAAACAAACAACCAACCAAAAACCCCCAAACCCAAAGAGCCCTCTCAAAAAAAACCAAAAACCAAAAACCAAAACAACCCAGCACCAAAAAAACCCCACAACCAAACAACAAAGCATTCAAGCAGCAGTTTTGTTCATAGTGGAATGATGAGAACTGTGAGCACAGGAAATAGTTTATTGCCTTGAGTAATTATTATGCTAATTTCAAGTTGCAGAAGTCACATAAAGAGGCGTTCTAAGATACTGTTATATTGCCTGAAAGCTAGAAATTCCTTTCTTGATGTCATTTTTGCTTTACCTCAACCTTAGAACTGTGATATGATGGTTCCTTCTAGAGCATGTTTGTTTGCTTATCTGACTGACAGAGCTCTCAAACCACTGTTAGCCCATAATTTACATTCACTGGCACCATGCAGATTTGCCCATAAATCACAGGTGTTAGATTTCTCCACAATAAGGGTGTTCATTGTAGACTTTCATATTACCTTCATAAAGGGCCCCATTTCGCTCTTCTTCCACTGCCTTCAGGAAAAGTTCTTTTGCCTGCGCAACAAATTACACAGAGCACTTCTTCAATTCCTTATAAGTAAAAGTGCAACATCACTTGCCTTAGAATTATTTTTGACCTTACCTACTGTACTTAAGACAGAGATAACAAAAAAAATATATAAATAATTTTATATATAAAATTATATTGTGCTACAAGGCATAAGATGACTGAAATTCCCAATTAACAAACTATCTATATTCCTGCTGCTTGCCCCTTACATACAGTCTTTCAGAAAGCAGATTGTGAAGGTGACACCAAGGCAATAAAGACTAGAAAAATCAGTGTAGGATTATGCAGACATTGGTATGGGAGATAACAAGACAATAACCTCTGTTATTTCTCCAGATTTAATTTAGCATTAGCTTTTAGAAAAGTTACACTGGAACAGTAATACAGACAAATAAAATCTCAAAATGATGCATCTTTTTCTGTACCTTTTCCTCTTTTGCTATCTCCTGTTTTCCCCTGGCATCAACAGACTTTAGTCCAGGTTCTCTTGATGATGCTCTGCATGGCAGAGGTTCCAACCCACTAGAACTCACACCTGGGGCAAGCTCAAACATCCACTGAGCTCTGAACATCTGGAGCTCTGCCTAAAAAACATGATTAATTCTACATAGTATCAAATATTCAGACTGTATATCTTCTGAGGAGAAATTATGAACACAAAAAAAGAATTTCAAAACTATGCTTTACATTTCCAAGCCTTAGATGGCTTCAGTGAATTCAGGCACAGAAAGTTAGCAATTGTTTTATGGTAAATTAAAACAAAAAAGTGCACAAGCGCTTGTTCAGGATCCTTCAATAACAAAAGTTCTTTTTTCTGGACTGTTCACCTCAGAAGAAAAACTGATGTGCTTGTCAGTGCTATGGTTATGACCTAAGATTCCACAGAAAAGTGATCTTTCCAGGCAAGATCATGTTTGTTCTCGTTCATGTAGCATTACCAAAAGCAATAAATCAATTAGCTCTTAATATTAAAATTTAGAAAATCCACATTTTTGTACACAGGCATTCTAAGTTATCTAACATTCAAGATGGCAATTTATATAATATACAAATAAGACCTTACTCCTTTCTCTTTTAAAAGTATGGACAATGCTCTGTGAAATAATACAAGTTGCAATTCCTGTCATGCCTTTTTTTTTAGCATCTTTGAAGTTACACTTTACATGTCTCTTGCAATCATCACAACTTCTGGGGAGCAACTACACAGAAATCTAGTCTTGTAGGAGAACACACTTTTCTGTTACACTGCTTTTATCACCTTTCTGGTCCAGTAAAGAGTGACAACTTAAACTAGAATTTGATCACAGAAACTGCTGTCCAAGTTCTACAGTTCTTCAAAGAAATTCCAGATCTGTCATAAGCTTTCTTTTCATCTACACAGGTAGGTGAAGACTGAATTTGACACTTAGAGCACAACGTAAAATTTATCTCACTTTTGGAAGGGCAGGCAGATTAAGCATTTGTCAGATCAACAGATGTGTGGTAAATAAATGAGGATAAGTGATGCAGTTTAAATCACAGCATTCTATGTTTGTAAAAACCCACTAGCATGAGAGACATACCTGAAGATTTGCTTCACCAGATCTTTCACTGTCATCGGTTCTTACCAAATCAGGGTGACAATCTTCTTCAGCTTCTGCCTAGTAAAGAGCAGTCAAATGTGATTATAGAGTCTGCCTAAGTTCCTACAGTACATTCACAAAGAACTGTCATGGACACACATTAAAAAAAAATTAAGCATACTTCCCTTTTGATGATAAAAATTAATTTTAAAACAAATGAGATCAGTTGTACTTCCATATTAATGAAGTTCATATTCAGTGAGGATGGGTTTTGCATTTTAATCCAACACAGATTAGTTGTGTATCACTTGAAGGCTGGCATACCTGACTAAATACACTGTGTCTATGTCAAAGCACAGAGCAAAAGCTTCAGTATTAAACAATAATGTCCTTTGTCCAACAAATTAAAATTTAATCACTATTTTCTCATTGTAAAGACAACCAGTAGTTTTGATTTGTTTAATATTTGCAAGAGCACAAAAGTGCTTTGAATAACAATAGATACTTTACATACACATGTGAAACTAAACAAGAAATGTACTGGAAAATAAAATAAAAAGCTAGCATGAGAGCTTGACAGTTGGTTTTATTTACAGTACAGCTGTGAGACAGGTTAAACAAATAAAACCTGAAATAAGACCTTTGACTAAACCTAACATGGCTCTACAGAGCAAGTTAAGCCAGCTAGTTTAAGATAAAAACTTAAAAAGATGCTAATTAATTATCATAGTGAAATATACTGAGATTTATGGAGTCTACACTAAAACAAAGGAAAACTAATTCTGAGCATTAACGACAAACCACTAACTACAATGATAACAACAGCAAGATGCCAGAAAGGGGAATAAAACACCCCAAAATCTCAACTAAGGATTTGTTTAAGGTTTTTCCTGCAGCTGAAGCAAACCAGTTTTTCTACATTCTGCGCTGAAATTCACATCTATAGTTCTGCAAGTAGACAATGCAAAGTGAGATTACAAGCAGGCAAACCTGACGTTATCACAACTACTTTAAAAATTTTATTTCCCACTCCTTCCTTTTGTACTCAGAGACTTGAAGTGATATTCCGCCTAAGTGAGATTCTACCAAGCTCTCAAAAAGAAATCTCTACCTCCTGCACAGTCAAAGTGCAGAAATCAAAGCATTCTTGTACTCAGAAAATGTATACCATTTTTAGAGCACCTGAAGTTCTCATCAAACTACAGAATACTAGCAAATGTGATGGGAAGGCAACCTTTAATCTCTCTGTCTGGGTGACAAGCACCTCCCTGGAGTTAGCACACGTCTTCGGATTCCCCAACGACCATAATCTTACCAGTTAGTCATCTGTAAAAGTGTTTTCACTGATGTTTCATATAATTTATCATTTACAATTGACAGACATGGTTGGTTGGCTGAAGATAAACAGATATTGCATCTACTTCTACATTCTCATTTTTAATTTCTGTACATTTTTAATTTCCCAGTGGAGGAAACAGGTGAATAAAATAATAGTGGCATTAAATCTCATCAAGGAGTAAATAACTTGGAAATTTCATGGGCTTTGATTCTACAATTTAATTGCAGGCTGTTAATGCCCTATGAGTTGTGACAATCCTACCACATTATCAGCATCCAGGAATATTCTGTTGGCCAAGCAGAGCCAGCCTAGGAATGAGCTAGCTCTGAAATGGGTGTCTGTAAGTGCATTATTATGGCACTGGGCTGGCAGAAATAAGACCTAATTCTGTGCAGAGTGCAAGTCTTCTGGTTTGCAGCTGAATTATGTCCAGGCAGCTCTCCGGTCTGGGCAGAATAAGCCTGGTTTTATCTGCAAAATGCAGAAATTAGCAATTTTTTATCTTAATCAATACACTATCTTCTCATGCATAAAGCCACGCCCATTAAAACCTTTAACTCCTGAGTCTGTAAACAAACTGAATTAAGAGTTGAAACTACTTAGAAGGTTAGGGAGCTGGATGAAGTTAACCTCATTCAAAAACTTGGTATTTCACTAATCTGTTCAACTCTTGATTTTTAACCCCTCCTCTCTGTTCAGCTGCCCTACTTCTTCATTTCTGAGTCACAGTCAGACATGGTAGTGGACTAACTGCATCCAAAATGTCATTTGATGCTCTTTGAAACCTAAATATGCTCACAACTCAAACCAAAAATACCTATGAAGACCTGGCCTACAGTCTAAAAGCTGTCAAAAGCCATCATGAAATTGATTACAACCGAAGTGCTGTCATTACCTTCTCCATACTGTATACATGTGCAATCTGCAGTCTCTCATGTCAAAGGTCTGTCTTGTGACAGTAGTGGCAGCCACCCTGAACTTACTGGTAAAGCAATTAATTCATTGCTACCGCATAGGAACAAACTGGAAAACTGATGTCTATTAACAACCTTTCCACTATTTATCTGGCCTGCTGAAATCCTATGATTTTGCTGGGACAAGTGAGTAAACACAGGTACTGTGAAGCAAGGACCTTCACCTTCATGTGAAGACAGCTCATGAGATCACACCTAAAGCACTTCATAACATGCACAAATTTGCTCCTTGACCACACTCAGAGAATACTTGTGTTGTACTTACAGTTTCTAAAATTCATAGAACACTGTGCCCCAACTGCTACTTAGGGGATAAATCTAGATAGTTCATCGTTGTGCTGCTGGCCTTTCTCCTGATACAAGTCAGCTGTCACATGGAACAGTGACTTCATCCTGATTGAAAGGAAGACATCGTACTGTGTACTGGCTGATTGGCTTCATTAATTTTCCATGAGGAAAGTAGTAGTCTATCAAGCCACCAAAAGGTAACGTGTCAAAAGTAAACATCTGATTTAGGCTGCAACTCAGAAAAATTAAGTCAGCTGAGTAGATTCAATTCTGATTTGTTTGCAAAGCTTCAGAAACCATTTGCCAAATGCAGAACTAGTTTATTTGCACAGTTCAGTTTTGTTTTGCAATCAATAATTGCATGCTGATTTCCTCAGAGTATATTAACCGCTCACTAAACTGTCTGTAACATCACGTCCTTTAATAGTTCTGATCTCTGTTTCGGCAAAATAAAACCAAGATCAGAAACAGTTCGAAGCTGAGTGTCACCAGTTGAACAGGGCTGCTATGTGTGAGCCATACAGAACTCAGGGAGGAGCAAGCACGGCAAAGCGAAACAGTGATTACCAGCTAACATTCCTCTTGGTTTTATAAAAAAATGAGAAAGTTGTCCTATTTTTCTGTAAATGTGGTAGAAACAACACTGTGATCAAAAATAAGAGTTTTTATAACCGTGGTGAGACATTTTAACAGCTCCTGTGCGATATAAATGGTTTAACTTTGAATGATAGAGTTCTCATCATGGATACTTGAATCCATATTGAGGCGCAGTCAATAAAGCAATGCCGAACCAAGGAGTATTTCTGATATGTTAAATTACAAACTCAACTCGAGTCACTGGCCCACGGAGTCCTTTACATTACTGAGTGACTTTATGCCACATTTTTGAGGGAAAGAAGGGAAAGGAAGGGCACGCTCCCCTGTAATGACACAGGGATTTTGTTCACGCGTTCCTACGGAGGGCTAGATCGCTCCAGAACCAAGCGGCCCCACTCAGCAAAATCCCCTGCGGGCGGCGGCCGCGTCAAGCGCCGGTGGGGCGGGATCACGGCGCGTTTCCCACAAGCATCGCCCGGAGCCCGGGGGCGGGTAGGCGGGCAGGGCAGGGCTGCCTGCCGGTAATTCGGCCAGGGGGCCGCTCCCACGCACGCCCCCCTCGTCCCGGTCCCGCCCGGCCGTCCCTGCACGGCAGCCGAGCCCCCGCCGCCCGGGCCCGCTCACCATGCTGCCGACGCTCGGGCGGCGCTGTCCCGTCCCGGGGGCTCTGCTCCCCCGCTTGGTCCGTGTGTCCTCCCTGCCCGCGAGGGGCACTTAGCAGAGTTCTCGGTCGGAGAAGCGCACCACGCAGCGGGAGTCCCTGCGGGCCCTGCGGACAGCAGCCATCTTCCCGGCGAGCAGGGCCGGCGGCGGGAGCGGCGGGACACGGCCCGGGCGAACCCGCCAGGTCAGAGCGCCGCCTCCCGCGCGGGCCGCTACGACGCGCTACCGCACAGACTCCCCGTCCCAGAGCGCACCGCGGCCCGTGCCGCCTCTGCCGCCCGCGGCGGCGCGGTGCAAGGCCTGCTGGGGAGCGTAGTCCGCGGCGGCACACCAGGGGAAGAGCGGCAGAGCAAAGGCTGCCGGGAACTGTAGTGAGTGGGAATCCCGGCAGGCGCGATCCCAGCAGTTGGAGCTGAGGTAAAGCGGCGATGTCCGGCAGCCGCGATTTCCGCTGCGACTGCGGTCAGACCGGGACCTTGGCACAGGTAACGGGAGAGCGCTCGGAGCCGCGCTGTGGAGATAACAGCGGTGCCGAGACCATTGAATCTCGTGGCCCTGGTAATTTGCCCGTCCAGTTCAGTGAGCACAGTTATCACCTGCTGTCAGCACATGCCTTATCAAGTTTTCTAAAATTGGACGAAACCTATTTTTTTTTAAAGCGTATCACAGTCTTTTTGTTCCAGAAGAAAACCACGTGTATGGATCTGTGAACCTTTGTGCATGTCTACTGCCCTGAGCGTTTTCAGGAAGAGGATGAGGAGGCGTGTGTCCTCTCTGGAGGGGTAGGTGAGCGCTCAGGCTTGGGCGGCGGGGGCGGGAAATGGGGCTGCAAGGGCTGTGGGAGCCGGCATCGGCAGTGGGCTTCAGATCCAGGTGACCGTAGAGCTGCTCTGTGGAGAGGAGAGAGGCAAGGGGGCTGCCCGACAAGGCCGGGCGCCGATCCGTGGCCGGGCAGCCGGAGCAGGGGGACAGGGTGCTGCTGGCGGGCCGTGTGAGAGTTGGGATGACACAGCTTTGAGATGAGCTGCTCATGGCTGCAACTGGTTATCATCAGTGCTGCTTCTCGTTTGGAGATGGAGTCAAAGCTGATTTTCTCCTACCTGGGTGTGCCTCTGCTTAGATACTAAACGTTACATTTTAGTAAGAAATCCTTTACTGTGGGGGCGGTGAGGCACTGATACAGGTTGCCCTGAGCAGCTGTGGATGCCCCATCCCCGGCAGTGTTCAAGGCCAGATTGGGTGGGGGTCTGAGCAAGCTGGTGTAGTAAAAGGTGTCCCTGCCCATGGCAGAGGGGTTGAAACTAGATGATATTTAAGGTCACTTCAAATCCAAATAATTATATGATTCTGTTGAGAATGAAAAAGCCTTGCCTGTAACAACAGAAAAACGGCATCCTGTGGCTGTCGCAGGGCTGAGCGCTAATACGTGATTGTGCACGTGGGATGCAATATGGGTGGCTTAAAGCAGAAATCTCATGTCTCACTGCTCCTCCTGGCTTCACTGAGAATCACGCCTGTCTGTTGGAGGGAATTTGAGTATTTATGATATATTCGTGTAAATATAAAGATTAGCCTATGACTAGATGGGGGAGGCACCCAGAGCTTTGTTTCCCCACACCTGTTTTAGCAAATGAATGTCATGTCCTACTGTACTCCTGAATTACAGCACTAGCTGATCCTGTCTTTCCAAACCCTGGGAATTAACTGTATGCTTTACTCTTAAAACCTAAGGGATGAAGTGTAAAATGAAACTGTCTCTTCCTGTATCACTATTACAGTCCTTATAATCAATTGTTTTAGAACAATTTTTTGTTCCTTGTTTTCCTTTTGCTTTCCATTATGTCTTAGGCTGACCCTGTCAGAGCCAGGGTGAGCTGCTGGTGCTTGGGTGAGGAAGACACAGGCCCCCACTTAAAATGTTGATATTCTTCCCATTTGTTCACAGTTTGGTATTTCTGCATTCTGGTTTTGTTGTTTAAACTCCTCTCTGAGATGTGAGAGTGTGGGGTTTGTGTTTGTTTGGCTGCGTTTTGTTTTCACAATAATCACAGAACTGTTAGGGTTGGTAAGGTCCTCTGGAAGTCATTTAGACCAACCCCGCTGCCAAGGCAGGGTCACCTGGTTATACAGGAATACGTCCAGGATGGGTTTTCAATGTCTCTGGAGAGGGACTCTGTGATTTCCCTGTGCAGCCTGTCCCAGTGCTCTGCTACCCTCAATGTAAAGTTCTTCACGGTTAATGGGACCTCATGTGTTTCAGTTTATGGCTATTGCTCCTCTTCTTGTCACTGGGCACCACTGAAAAGAGCCTGGCACCACCTTTCTTGGCACCCACCTTTGAGACATATCTATGAATTAACGAAATCCCCTCCCAGTCTTCTCCAGACTGAACAGGCTCAACTCCCGCAGTCTCTCATAAAGTGAGATGCTCCAGAGATGGTTTGGTTTGTTTTTTTCTCGTTAACCACCAGCTCAGCGCCCCGCCATTCCGGGCCCGTCCGCAGGCCGGGCCCGAGCGGGGAGACGCGTCCGCGGTGAGTCCTGCCGGGCACGGGCTCGGGCACGGCGGGCCGGGGGACCCGCGGCCCCGTACGGTGAGGAACGGGAGCGGGGACACTCGAGTGTTCAGGGCCGAGGCTGGGGGTCGAGCACCGCCGCAGCGCGGAGGCCGGGCGGGAGCCGGGACCTGGCCTGAGCGGCGGACCCGCCATCGCACATCTGTCCCTGCCTTGGTGTGCGGCTCACGGGGCACCCCCAGAGCCCTCAGTGACAAACGCGGCAGCCGCTGGGACCGCACCCATGGACATCGACGGCTCTGAACCGCGCCTTTCTCACTGCTTCCTGCTAGTAATACCCTCGAGTAATTGCCACAGCGCAGGACAAGTTTAAAAAGGCACATGCTGTTTGTTTACTGTCTGCGTTTCTTAGTTGTGGCAGGGCGAGCCAGTTTCGCTTTCAGTTCTCGGTGCTTCAGCACTTCAAACAGGAGGGGATACGTATTTAAAGGGTTCATAAGCGAAATAGTAGGTTTCAGTTGTACTTAGTACGCTCGAATTGGGCTTTCTGTTAAAGGCGTTTTGCTGTTCGATTTCTGCGGGGAAAGAAAGTATAGGTGAGGTACAGTGAACACTCTGTTACAACGATGGAAATAAGGGATTTACATTTTACTCTTTAGTATCAACACACTTTTTACTTTAAGATATTTTTGCAGTTTGTTTACATCCTCTGGTGCTGTGAATTTGTGTGGATTGTACTTTTAGATTAGATGATACGTGTTGTAGCTCTGCAGACTGCTTGTCGGAGATTCGTGCTCTTTTCAGTAATTTGTGTGGGACTCAGGCAAAACAGTCTGAAGGCCAAGTAAAGTAGATTTTGAAAAGAACCTCACTATTAACAACAAGAAATGACGCTGATTGAGTTAACCAGAGAAGACTTCTTTCAGGTTTTGTCAGTGGGTTTTCACACAGGTGGATTTGTGCTTCCAGGGGAGCTGGGTTAACTTCTGTGCATCCTGGCATGTTTTTTAGCATTAATTCCTTACTGAAATAAGTAATTTCTGACTGGTTTGGTTTTATTGTTGTTTTTTTGTTTTTGTTGGGGTTTTTTGTTTGTTTGTTTATTTGGGGGGTTTTTCTGGTTGGTTGGGGGTTTGGGGTTTTTTTGTTTGTTTTTGGGGGTATTGTTTCATTTGGGTGGGGGTTGGTTTTCTTGTGTATTGGTATTTTGTTTGGTTTTGGATTTGAGGGGTTTTGTTGTTGTTTGGAGTTTGTTTTTGCTGTGGTTATCAAATATGAGGCAAGGGTGCTCCTCCACTCTTCAGTCATGGTTCCCTGCAAGGGATACGTGAATGGTAAATCAGGGACAGCATAGGAATCTGAATTTTAGGACATCACAGCTGTCTGGATCATGATTTCAGAACTCCGTCATCAGGGCAGTATGTGCAGAAGAGTCCACAAGGCCCAACTGTGTTGATTTGAAATTACCGTATAAAATTATTTGGATTTTAATAAATTTTAGCTTTTCAAAGTAGGAGAACGTGCAAGACGATGTCATTGTTTGAAATCTTGTTGCCAAGGATCTGAATAAAGGCTTCTGAGCTGCCATGCAGTCACTGACCAGTTGGAGTAAGCAGGTTAAAGCTTTTTAACCTGGATGCTGACCACTGAACTTAGCTTTATGCTATTCAGGTGTACAACCTGAAAACCAGCCAAAAAGAACTGGTACTTGAAACTGCTGTTATTACAGACAGGCTCTATATTCCTTGGCAAGTAGTACAAAATGTGGGATTAGGTTTCTAATGTAAGGTGCTCAGTCCTGGTTGTCTAGTAGTGAGTGTATGGAAAGAAACAGGTACTGCTAGAGGCAGTTCTTCCTGCCTGTCTGAGACACTGACCAGTGTCTGATAGATTTAGAGACATGCTGCACAATGGGTAAATTGTCAAAAGGTCTTCTAACTTCAAATTGCCTGGTCTTTATTCCTGTACCAGTATTAGTAGGGCTAGTAGGCTTAGAAGATGGAAAATAAAGGATGTTCACAACATCTTGCAGCTACAGAATAGTGGCTGTGCATTGATGTCAGTTCAGCATTTCAGTAACATAGTCCCATTACTTCTAAAATCATAATACAGCTTTGTGAAGTAAGGGAGATATAAGGCAACTACAAAAAAATGTTGACAGTGTAGTTAAAATACACATTACAGAAGGCAAAAGTCAAAAGCCATGTATATTGTTCTTTTTTAAAAGGTGAAAAATAAGAGAATGCAATGACTAAACCTTCATTGCAGGGGAATTCTGTTTTACTTCAAATGTATGGTTAGTTTGGATAGAATAGATTACATTTTTTCTAAACTGTAGTGGAGGAAATACCAACAACAATTACGTTAAACTAGAAACAAGAAGTTTTTTGCTTCATTATCCAGCAGAGATTCTGTGGATGCCCCATCCCTGGAAGGATTCAAGGCCAGATGGGGTCAGGCTTTGAGCAGCCTGGGTACTGGAAGGTGTTTCAGCCCATGGCACAGGGGTTGGAACTAGATGATTTTTAAGGTGCCTTCCAATCCAAACCATTCTGTGTTTTTTTGGGTTTGGTTTTTTTTGGGTTTTTTTTTTTCATTCATGCAGTGTCACAACAAAAGATTGGATAGATAATCTGATGTAGCCACTACTTCTGGAGACTGATTCATGCTTAGAGTTACTGTAGTAAAATACATTTGGTCTTACCTGACATGAATGTAATATTTTTCCTCTGCACACTTTGTTTAAAGGAATGCATATGTCTGTGCTCTGTCACATAGGACCAGATGGAAATTTAGGATATTGGTTTAACTGATGGCAGTGTGACTTGTAAGGTGTTGACTTACATGCCTAAAAATTTGGCTAGGACAAATCCCATTCCATTGTATTGTAAAACTTCATTTTTTTCTGGTAGCAGATTGTTTTGTCCAGGCTGTGAGACTTTATCCTGTAACTTTAGTAATGGTGTCTCCCATCAGGACTGCCTGCAAGCTTTCTGTAAGGCACCTTTAGCTTTAGCATGGAACTGGCTTTGGGGATTATACCCAGTTACATGCAGATACAGGCTGGCCCTTTCTGGTGAGGCACCAGGACAAGTGTTTGTGTACGGCTGACAGGGACTGTTCTCTTGGAAGAGAGTGGAATCTGCAAACGAGCAATCTCAGAAGGGTGCAGAAATCAAATGGAGTATGTTCTGTGCCAAAGGCTAAGTCTTGAAAACATGATTCCTGCAACTGTTCACACTGTCCTGAGTGCTCTGTATTTATGCTGCCACAGAAAGAACTGGTTACACTCGGAGGAGAAAAACCACAGGAAACGCCAAGAACTGAAATGCGCTCGCAGCTGAAGTATCCTCATCATGAATAGGTACAAAACTATCAGACAGCTTGGTGATGGGACCTACGGCTCTGTTCTCCTAGGGAGAAGCATTGAATCTGGAGAGCTAATAGCCATTAAAAAGTAAGTGTTCTCATAGATTACTTAATAATGCATAGTCCAGCTTTTTCCTTTCTGGGTCCGCATCCGCTTGGTCATGTTGGTTTGAGTACTTCACAATCCATGCAGCTTCTTAATATGGAGTTGTATTTGGGCAGCATGAAAAAGTTCCTTGTGTGTTCCAAATCCTCAGCAGGAGATAAAAAGGGTGAGATATATGGGCTTATTGTACAACAGCACTCTGCTGCTAGATGCATTAAAATGTGTTTTACGTATTACTTAGAGTATCCTGCAGTGCTGCTTTGGAAATCTGTAGCCCTTTTGCTGCTGCATACATGGAACATATATTTTGTAGTCTAATTTTCAATGGAATATTAATACTGCAGTGATAATTAACACAACTGATCTCATTGTCCGTTGGCTGTATCTTTTATACTCTGATATATTGGGCTTTTCAGCTTAAGATTTTCTTGAAATACCTTGAGAAATTCACTTGATTTTCTCTTCTGCTTCAGCAGTGACTTTAGTTGGTAAATGGCTTATTTTTCCTAGCTATGGTAAGAGACAGCTGTAAAGCATTGCGGGCACCTTCCTGAAATACTGACCATGACAAGGGACAGACTTGTCTAAAGAGCTTTTAGTACAATGCTGTTTTGTATGAGCAGTCAATAGCTGGCTTTAGCAACTTTCTAAATCCCCTCTGCTGAGGGTATTTTGCCTGTATCAGACCTTGCTTAGAAGGTGTTGCTTTAATTTTCAGTTTGCAATATGGGAAAATCTCAGAAAAATCAGAACAAGCCAGAAGTTTTCTCTTACCTTAGGTGTTAATGCTGGTCCTTTGTTAAAAACAGAAGTGGCCTGGTAACTGAGTGCACAAGACAATAACTGCAAAAACATTGCAAAAAAAAAAAAAATCCAGACCCCTTCATGACATGAAGGTCTTGTAGTTCTTAAACTACTCTAATTGTGAGAGCCAATTTCAAACTGGAAACTTGCTACAATAATAAGTAATACTGAATTATCATTAAAGGCAAAGGCTCAGATCTTCAGAGAGTGCTTAACTCCCTCTGAAATCCAGACTCTGCACAGTTGAGTATTTTTGTAAGTTTTAATCTGTCGTCTTCTGTGTGCATCTGTGTGTGAGCCTTCATCCTTTTGGTCCTAAAACATAGAGTTATGTCTCAAAGAACTTAGTGGTAATCAAAATGTGTATGAAGACACAGAACCATCCATTACACACAAATACTGTGTTCAGAGTTGCAATCTGGCTTGGGAGAAAACTGTCACACAGTTTATTTCTGTTAGAGCAGAGTTGCTTATAAGCTTGAAGGGAAAGCAGAATTTGAAAAGCAGTTGGCATGATAGATGTACCTTGCAAGGGAAGGAGAAACATGAGGAGTAGTGGACAAAGGAAAATGTGGAAATACAGCAAAATACTAAAATCACAGAGAAATCAAAAATAGAGAAAAGGGGCAAGGCGAATATGATAAAATTGGAGACCCAGTGAAGTGATTGGATCTTCATTTGATTTGTTTCAAAACTGTCAAAACTACCCCTGTTCTTTTTACAGTTAGACTCTATTCTACCACATTGCTACATCAGAAAGAAAAATAGCATGCCTGGGCTTGTTGGAGGCTCTGAATTATTTTCAGCAAGATATATATACAGAAAAATGCAATCCTGTGTAATAGTAACTGTTATTTGACTGTAATTCTATTTGAGTTCGTATTCTAGTAAATCAGCTTGACTGTATCTTGTCTAGAGATGTAAAGTTTTTTGACAAATGAGCTAGCATCTTCTATTTTCATGGAAGAACTGAATTCATTTTTTTCCTCTCTACTTTTGTAGAATGAAGAGAAAGTTTTATTCCTGGGAGGAGTGCATGAACCTTCGAGAGGTTAAGGTACTTGTTTTGTTCAATGGTTGACTTCAGATTTAGTGATCACTGTCACATTTGGGGGTAACATCAAATTCTTTACAACTCTTGTGTCAAAACACTACTCCCAAAGTGAGATGTACCATATGACATTACAGTTCTGTTTCCTGACTCTGCATTGGAAGGGGGTGTCGGTAGTCTTATAAAAAACACTTACTGAAATTCTGTAGTCTTACAAAAAATATTTAGTTGTAGAGAGCGCTTCCTCCCTGCACTGAGGGGTGTGTGAGTGAGAACTTTCCTGTCACAACACCTGGAGCTGATTGGTGCTTGTTTTTCAGAGCTTGAGAACACATGCCCGTTGTGCAGCATTAGCTTTTGTACGTGCAGTTGTTTCTCTGTAGTTGGCTTGGGGACTGACATACAGCATGAAGTTCTGATGCCAACAAAACATTGGGGTAGGGTGTAGGGGCCTCCTTAATTTATAGTCAGCACTGAAAACATGCAGAAAACCTAGGCCATTTTTCTTACCGTTGACATCAAATACACTGAAAATCTGAAAAAAGAAGCAAGACCCAAATTTGCTAGTTTTAGCTAGGGTAGAGTTAGTTTTCTTTGTAGCAGCTTCTGTGGGTCTTTGTTTTGGATTTCTGACCAAAACAGTCTTGACAACACAGGTATGTTTTAGTTATTGTTGAGCAGTGCCCCTCTGTTTTTCATGCTTCCCTGTCAGTGAGTAGGCTGAAGGTGGGCAAAAGGCTGGGAAGGGACGCAGCCAAGACAGCTGACCAAAGAGACGTGCCATGTGACATTGTGCTGGGCAACAAACGCTGGGAGAGGAAGGAGGAAGCAGGAGACCTTCAGAGTGATGGCATTTGATTCCCAAGTAACCATTATATGTGACAGAGCTGCTGTACTGGAGGTGGCTGAGCACCTGCCTGCCCATGGGAAGCAGTCAATGAATTCCATAGTTTGCTTTGCTTGCATTCTTGACTTTTGCTTTACCCATTAAACTCTGTATCTCAGCCTATGAGTTGTCGCAATTTCTGCCCTTCTGATTATTTTCCCCATCCCACTTGGAGGGCTGAACAAGCTCAACTGCCTGCAAAAGTTAATCCACAATACCAAGGAAGACTTTCCAGGGTTGTTTTTAATCTTGACTCTGACTGATGCCAATGCAGGTGCAAGAAGAGTGTGAATTAGGAAGTTTATTACAGAGAAAATGCTATTGTTTTGGTGCTTACAGTGACAGCAGATAGCTGGCTTTTGAATGAGCAGCACATTAAATTGCTGCATAGACTGTATATGTATGTGGTAATGCTTGGAGATCTGGTCTTTGTTCTCAGAGCTGTCTGATTATTTAAGACGCCAAAGAGTTTTTGAAGTTAATCCTTCCTTAACAGTGAAATAAATTGGGGGTTGGTTTTTTTTCTCCTTCACTATATTAAGACTCTTATAAAATCCTGTTTGTATTTTCTGTTTCTAGTCTTTGAAGAAATTAAACCATGCCAATGTGGTTAAGCTGAAAGAAGTTATCAGGGAAAATGATCATCTGTATTTTGTGTTTGAATACATGAAGGAAAATCTTTATCAGTTAATGAAAGAGAGGTATGTAACAGCATCACCCATCCTCATGTAAATTAATTACTTGTGTAATGTGCTTTTAACACCCTTGATACTGTTCAAAGGACTTTGGATCATTTGTTTAGGCTTGGATCACTATAGCTTAAAGCTGCAGGCTGCAGTAGGAGCTGTGACTGTCACCTTTGAGCATATCTCAGCCAGTCCAGTGAGAGTTTCCAGTGTCTTGTCCCACGTTGGTGTGGTAGGGGAGTAGTGTGTTCTTTTGAGAGGTAGGAGCTGTGGGTTTTTAACAGTCCTCACACTGAGGAGACCTTGGACCTGGAACTTCTGATTTCTATGTAAGTACTCCAGTGGTGCTTTTTTATAAGAGAGTGGTCTCACCACCTCTTATGGCTTCCTCGAATAAATGAATAAATAAAAAGTAGTTGGAACAATAATCAAGAGGTGTCAAATTTTGGATTGCTTCCAGGAATTATTTTTCCTTGCAATTTGAACTGACATGACCAAAGACTGCTTGTTTCATTTGTCAGCATTCTGAATAAAATTTAACTTTTTGATATTTGCTGGAGTGTTAAGAGTCTTAATTTTAGCCTTTGGGCCATGATAACATATACCAGAGGATAACTGAGGGCAAAATTTCCTGCTTTGAATTGTTTCTCTCTATGGACCATAGTGTCAGCCTGGCAGCTGACAAGAATCTTCCTTGATTTAACAAAGTGAGGTTATTGTTACAGTTCATACATATCTATGTGAATGCCACATGAAATACCTTTCTAAGCATAAAAATGCTTACTATGCATGCACAGGTATATAAAACAGTTAACTTAATTGGGCACATATGTATGGATATACATAATTATATATAATTTATATATATATATATATAAAAATTATATATATATATATAGAGAGAGAGAGAGAGAATATGAAATAATGAACTTGGAAGAAATGGTTCAAGTCTATGACAGAAACCAATTATCTTTGGGAATTTCACAGAAATGCTTGATGTCCTACCTTCTTATGAAAGCAAAAAGCCCAGATGTCTCTAAAAGTATGCTTTGCATCACACTCTCTACAGTTTAGCTAGGCCATGAACTTCTTTAACATTGTGTAAGTCAAACCTTTAAGAATGTGATTTATTTCCTTAATTCTTAATTAAATGGCCAGTTTTGTGCCAAGTGACTGTAGAGGAACTAAGAAATTCTTCTGTAACTAGAAAAGAAAGTAGGCAAATACGAAAAGCTGATTAGCAGTTTTATTTGTCATTGCTACCTTTTATCTTTGGTTCATTAGATAGCATAAGCTAATGTATGAATTTAGTCATTAATATTTATTTATTCCCTTTTATTCCACAGAAACAAACTGTTCCCTGAGTCTACAGTTAGGAATATTATGTATCAGATCCTCCAAGGGCTTGCATTTATTCATAAGCATGGTAGGTTACGTTTTAGCTATAAACCTTCTGAATTAGAGACAGATAGTGTTTGTGTAAGTTTTTTGATTAATACACAAGCAATTACATTACTAACTTTAGTAGAAGGAATGATCAAAAGAATGGCTCTGTATGAGAGATTCAGATGACTGAAAACACCTGTATTTTATAGTTGCCTAACACTTCATTCTGGAAGTCTTCTCAGTTCCTTTTCTGTAGACTTCAACTTTTTCAGTCTGGCAGCTGGCCTTTCTCAGACTCGTTGGATGTTAGTGAACACATTCCTTGATAGATTTAAAGGTCCCCTGAGACTGAGAATAAAGAAGAAATTACTTTTTTCTCAAGGTACATGCAGATACCTAAATAAAACATATTTTCTAGAAGATATATTTAAAGTAGTAAAGTCCGAGTGACAAGCAGCTTTCATTGCATGGGCTTTCAACTAATATTTATAAAAATGGTAAAAGCTAAAGCTGATGTACCAGCCAGTAGTAATGAGACCCAGTTAACTAATAAAAAAATCTCAAAACAAACACCTTATTTTAACAAAAGCTTCCTCACTGTTTTTTGCTGGCCTCTGCAATATTATCTGCTAGATACACTGAAGGGTCTGTTGCTGGACAGCTCTCTGGGTTATTGGAAGAGAGCTGACATCAGTGGTCAGAGTCCTGGAAGCGAAATGCTTATAAGGAACAGCATTACAATTCACTTGAAGAACACATTTAACTGTGTTTTACAAAATACTTTCCAGCTAATGACTTTATTCACTCTTCTAATGGGGCTTGGATACTCATCTGAAACCTAACTATAAATTCGAGTCTTTTTAAGTGACATGCATAATATGTAAACACAGAAAAATACTATGATTGATTTGCAAAACTCTAAGCCAGCTTTTTTCAATTAATTGTCAAATGGATCACAGCATTTCAGAACATCTTTTATTGCTATTTAACTTAACTATAGCTGTTAAGACTGAGCAGTTCTATGTCAAAACTGTCTTCTTCACTGACCTGCTACCACACTAGACTTGTATTTCTGCCAAGATGTTGCAAATCTGTAGTTAAGAACACCTGGAAGTGTTTGGCAAGCCCAACAGGCTCATGGTGTAAGAATGAATGTCCCAAGATGCTCTCCACAACAGTTTTGGAAAAAACCACGTTTTTTCCCCTCTATTTCTGCATTCTGCTCCTGTGTTGCATGGAAATGCTTGTCAAGTAAATTTCTTACATTCTTTGTACATTCAAACTCTTAAGCATCTTTTTATATTTGAGTACACAATGGATTACTCTTTCTACAATTTTGTCATTAAATAAATTGCCTCACAAGCATTCTGTTGGTGCATGTCTGTGCAGCAAAATACAGAACTGATTGTACTAAATGCTAAGAACAGCCTTGATTGCTTTCCCTGATTCCTTTCACAAAGAAGCAGTAATTCAGGCTGGCACCAGAATATCCACTCAACATCCCTGGGAAGGAGACAGTCTTCTGGTTAGTAGATACCTACAGCACTGTGTCTGCAGTGCTGTTATACATGAATCTGACAAACAAAAGCTAATCTAGTTATACTGGACAATGTAGACACATCCTATGTCAATGTTTAGTCCATTCTCTGTGGGAACATACTCAAAGCCATGGAAAAGGTAAGCATGTTGGAGTCTCTGGAAAGGAGCTGGGAGAGCTTCAGTTAGGTACTGCAGAGGGAGCTCTATATTGGAACCGTGGTAGGTGCTTGCAAGAAAGAAGCATAAGAGCAAGATTGCTGGGCTAATGGTGGAAGCAAATTTCAGAGACAGTAGTCAGTGATACACCAGCCCTCTTCTCTCATTTGTATTAAAAGAGCTCTTGCCAAACATTTATTCATTATCAGTTTGAGATCCTCTTACGTGGTGCTGAGTAGCTCAGTGCTTGCAGATAGGTTCTCAGATTTAAAAAGAACTTTGAAGTGCAAAAAACCCCCTCTTTTAAATATATACTCTGTTTAAAATAACATCTTATGTAATTGATTGATTACTTCATTGGACAGTTTCCAGTTAGAATGAAACTAGCATTAAAATGGTGGAAATTTTTTTATGTTAGGGAAGTGCCACTTGAAAGAGAGCTGTCTGAATAAGTGCTCTGAATTGTTACAAGATAGCCAGCTTGTGTATACTGTTCTTCACAACCTAACTGAACAGCACTGTACTGATCAGCTCTGCTGATCACATAGGACTTCGATATCTGTGTGCTATTCCAGCTTCAATGCTAAAGAGCTAAAGTGAAACAATCCAGTTGGAAAATAAAGGATACAGCTGTGAGTGACATTGCAATCCACATTAATATTTCATTTGAATTTCAGGGTTCTTTCACAGGGACTTGAAACCTGAAAACCTGCTTTGCATGGGACCAGAACTTGTGAAAATTGCAGATTTTGGTTTAGCCCGAGAAATCCGATCTCGACCTCCTTACACTGATTATGTATCCACAAGATGGTAAGTGCTAGTGCTCACTTATATTGTAGGAACTTGCAGTCAGTGCTTGAAAGTAGCACAGTACTGAATTCGTGCTGATTGTTATACTACTTTTGATGCCTCCTCATTATGAAACTTTTATTAAGCTTCGTGTAATTTGAAAAACTGCAGTTAGTGCAAGATAGTTTACAGATAGCAACAGCAAAGGAAGAGTGTAGTAAGGCAGGTGGGAATGTGCTAGGATTGTTGTGTCAGGAAGGTGTGAGAGAGTTTACAGAAGATTATGTAGTTTTAATCAAAAAAAGAAAGAAAGTCTGTGTACAGAAGAGGAGAGGAGATTTTTAGAGAACGTTTGCTCTTAATAGCAAAGAATGAAGTGGTGAGCAATTTCATGTATGTTTGAATTGTGTTGATTGGTGGGATTTCCTTTTCTTTATTTCCTCTACAGGTACAGGGCTCCTGAAGTACTTCTGAGATCCACCTGCTATAGCTCTCCAATAGATATTTGGGCTGTTGGTTGCATAATGGCAGAAGTTTACACGCTGAGGCCTCTCTTCCCAGGCGCCAGTGAAATTGATACTATATTCAAAATTTGCCAAGTCTTAGGGACGCCAAAAAAGGTAACTGAAGTGATATTCCAGACTGCAGTAATCCTGGAACTGTTCTACAATACACAATGGCATGGTAGCAGTAAGCATAAAATAATAAATTTTCCTCCTTACTGTTAATTTGTGGTATTGATCTCAGAAATAATAAACTATATTAAAACCTATTTTCTGTGCAGTAAGCATTTCTGTACAGTAATTATGCTATACCTGACACATAGAGGAGGAGAAATAGACCCCTGCACAGAAAACAAAGTCCTTAGACTGTGATTTCATTAGGTGGGAATTTAATTTTCTCTTGTACATTGCATAAAAACCTGTGGTTTAAGAGGCTAAAAATTGGGATAATGGCAAGATTCCTATTTCCTGATTCCATTTGTGCCTTTTGACTCTGTCAGATGTACAGCAAGACTCACCTCTCACCAGAGGTTTGGGGTGAAGATTCGTAATGAAATTTTCTATATAAGACTAGAGTAAGCTGGACACAGTCTGTTTGTTACTGGTAGAATATGTGCTAGTGTGCTTAGGCACTGATACTTTACAGCTGAACTTCTTCTGTGTTTGAAAATCTCATTCTTCCAGAACGACTGGCCTGAAGGCTACCAACTTTCAGCTTCCATGAATTTTCGCTGGCCTCAGTGTGTACCTAACAACCTAAAAACTCTCATACCTAATGCTGGCAGTGAAGCAGTGCAGCTCATGAGAGACATGCTGCAGTGGGACCCCAAAAAGCGGCCAACAGCTAGTCAGGTTTGATTTAATTTTCTTTTTGTCTGCTTGTGATTTTTTTCTTTTAATGCAATGAGAAGTCATTTAGCAGTTGCTCAGGGGTGCAGTTCTTAGAAGGAGGAGAATCGAAGAACAGTTTGAGAGACAAAAGAGGGTAATTAAGAGAGAATAATTAATCTTTTGCATGGAACATCAGCTGCTTGGGGTATGTGCTCATTAATCAAAGGTGTGACTGCAGCATGTAAATACACTTGAATTAAGTATAATCCAGTCACTGTGAATAGCAGCAGAGTGAAGGTAGGATGTATGGCGGAAGGCTGTGATGCAGTGTTCATTGTGTTGTGTCACAGAATGACTGGAATCTGGTTCCATCACCTTGCCCTAGGCAGCCTGTGCCAGTGCTCAGTTACTCTCAGAGTTAAAAAGTGTTTCTTGATGTTCAAAAGGAGCTTCCTGTGTTTCAGTTTGTGCCCATTGTCACTGGGCACACCTGAAAAGAGACTCGCTCAATCTACTTTGCACTTTCCCTTCTGGTTTTTTACATACTTTGATAAGATCCTCAATAACCTTCTGTTCTCCAGGCAGAACAGTCCCAGTTCTGTTTTTGCTCATATGTGAGATGCTCCAGGCCCTTAATCACCTTTGTGGCCGTTTGATGGACTCTCTCCACTATGTCTATCTCTTTTCTTCTTCTGGGGAGGCCAAAACTGGATACAGGAGTCCAGGCATGGCCTCACCTGTGCTGAACAGAGAGGAAGGATCACTGCTGGTGACCTGCTGGCAGTGCTTCTGCTCTGGCAGCCCAGGACTTAGTCTTATTTGCAGCAAGGGCATATTTGGTAGCTGTTGCATGTTCAGCTTGGGTGTCTAGCAGGTCCTTCCCTGCAAAGGTGCTTTCCAGGTGGCTGACCTCAGCATGTGGTTACTCCTTCCCAGGACTTGCTATTTAGCCTTGTTAAATTGGTAAGGCTCCTGTCATCCCGTTTCATCAGGCTGCCCAAGTCCTGCAGGGTGGCAGCCCAGCTGACCAGTGTGTCAGCCCTTCCTTCTACTTGTGTCATCAGCAGACTTGCTGAGGGTGCACTCTGCACCACCAGCGACATCGTTAATGGCGGTGTTGGAGCAAAGTATTTGCCTCTGGGGAACAGATACTTCCTGGGCTCCAACCAAGACTTTGTTGCACTGTCTGCCACCCTTTGGGCCTGACCTTTCAGCCAGCTGTTAGTCCACCTTGCTCTCTGTTCCTCCATCCCAGTCTTGCCTGGATAAGGCTTGCTTTTGCTGGGCAGCCTCAGCTTAAGTGCATTGCAGGTATGTTCCAACATCCGGTACATAAGCATTGCCCAAGTCATCAGTATTGCACGTACAGGTGGTGGTAGCTGCTGGTTTTGGGTAGTACTCAACTAATACAATGAGCAGGGCACCTTTTGGAAAACAGATGGGATTCTTGACACTTGACTTCAAGGGCCATAGCTGAATCTTTGTGATTTAACTGGACCTTCAGTACAAATTGCACTTAAAAGCTTGAAATTTAATGAAAACAGTTAAAAAGTGAAATAGATTAAGAACTCTCAAAGGTAATGAAGAATAAAAAACACTGACTGTAACACTATTAAGAGTATTAACAAATGTTTTACAGTGAAGTATAAATAGAGTGAGGAATCCGAAATTTAGAAGCTTTTTGCAGTAAGAAGTCTTTGGGAAGGGAAGATGAGTGTGCCTGAAACAGCAAGATAGATTAATTGCCTTTACTGACAACTTCCTAATTATTTGTAAGGCAGATAAAAGTACTTCTACTAACTAACTTTACTAACTTGTCAGAAGAGGTAGAGGCTGATTTCCATAAGGGTTGTATTTCTTTCGCTTAATTCAGTCTTAGAAATGGAGAATAGAGGAGATGTTTCTGGGGTTATTGAGTTTTGCTGGCTGAATCTGTAATTATGAGAGGGATGTGTTTCACACACACACACGTGAAGAGACAGCATGTAATGAAACATGCCTTTAGATGCCATATACCTGGTTAACTACTTTAATTCTGCAGAACCTTTCCTTCTGTAGTAGTCCACAGAGGATTTGATAATTCAATATCTCTTGAAAATTCCCTACTATTGCAACATTTTTCTGAAGTGGATTTTGCTCAGTAGAATCAGTGTTGAGATATGGATCTTCTGCTGTTTTCTACCCCACAAAAGAAGGAAATTAAATTTGTGCTGACACATAGGACTGGGGTAAATGGAAAACTTCGGTTTTCTAAGCCTAACATCTTTATTACTTTTTAGGCACTTCGATACTCGTACTTCCAGGTTGGGCATGCCCTGGGCATTCAGGAACTGGGAAAACAAAAGGAACTGCATAACAAATTATCTCTGCATATTAAGCCTGTCCCTCCAGCACAGCCCCCTCTGAAACCTCATGCCCGAATTTCATCAAGGTCTTTTCAACAAAGCCAGTCTTCTCAGCACATGGTGTACGCATGTAAGACGGACAACTCTGAAGCTGCGCCCAGTAACTATTTACAGGAGGACAAGTCTAACCAGGTTCTTCTGCCTGCAATACACAATAAGGTTCCTCAGCAGGTAAAGGTCCATCTAGCATAAGATAAGCTTTCTGATATACTGCCTGACTTTTTGTCTTGTGTTTCTTTTTCTTGTTCTCTTTCAAGGTTCTTGTACTTCACTAAAAGGACAGTGAGTGGAACTAAAAAATGGTTCCAACTGCTAGAAACTGGAACTTCCTCTATTGAAATCTAAATCCAGTTGCTGTAAAACAAGCAAGTCAGTTTCTTGTTTTAGAGCCATTTTGTGGTACCCTTTACACCTGCACCACTTACAGGATGACACTGATTTCATACGAATGTATAGTGTTCAAAATATTAACGGGATTGATGCCAGAGATAAAAGTATGAAGCTAAATAGTATTGAAATGAGGGAAAGGAGACTACTGCCTTCATCCATTTAAGGCATCCAATTTATTGACTGGGAGTCCCTTTGGTCATCCATACTGGACATGGAAACCAACAGATTCTTCTTTCAGCATGAGAATGTACCCTTTCTGTCTTCTAATGAGGAGACTGGATTCACAAAATAGGTGATGAGAGCAGACAGTGTGAATGCTGCTGCTACAGAGTCAGTCATAAGCAGGGTCTGTACTGACCAGTGTCATACAAAGTCAAAATGTACTGCTGAGTCTAAATGACTGAAGAGACACAAACTTGTGCCTGTGCTGTCCTGCAAGAGAAAAAAAAAATGTCAATAGACATAGGCTTGTGGAAACATAAGTGTTCATGCAGTTTTATATTCCCAGCATGGGTCTAGAAGTAAAAATTGAGCATAAGGTAATCGTTTGGGAGGTGCATACTGGAACATGAACAGAATTGGAATTGAGACCCAAGAAATTTCTTCTTCTGTAGGTTCAAGATGCTATTGGACAGGACAAAATGCAGAAGATAGAGAATAATATCAGCAGGCTACAGATTGTGTTCTTAGCATGTTTAATGGAAGTTGAAGATTGTGTTGTTACAGCCCTACTACCATTATTACTCTTTGAGGTAGAGGAAAAAAAGTCTTCTTTGTTCCTGTCACCTAGATTGTGGTCTAAGCCTGTGGGTTTGTTTCTTTTCAATCTTTATAACAGAAAACATCTGCTGGGTCTGAGAATATAAATGGTGAACTTAAACCAAAACCTAGGCGAAGATGGGGACATCTTCCCAGGACAGTTAAGAGTTCTGAAGACTGGGATGATTTGGAAGACCTTGATTTCAGCTCTTCCATCATGAGAATGGACTTGAAAAGCAAGAAGAGGCAGAATGATGAAACTCTTTGTAGGTAAGGGGTTTTTTATGTGTATGTGCTATTTGGTCTATTTCTTTGCTCCTTTCCTCTTTCTTAGTAATGTTGCTCTTCATGCTTTCTTTGTATCTAGAAATGTATATCTATACAATTTTGTGGTTTTTTTTTTTTCCACTGAAAATTATAAATGGCTTAAGTCTCCCCAAGTTAATTTTTTAATATATACTTTCGATTTTACATGTGGACCATTTTGACATATTCCATGCATATAAACTGTTTTGGACGAGTCTAAGCTACAGTTTCCATGGATAATAGTATACAGAAGAGAGAAACTTACTGAGTGCTTTATAAAAACTTTAAAAGCAGTATATAAGGAAGCTAGAAGCATAAATCTGATTTTCAGGGACACTTGCATGATTCGGATTGATAATATTCCCCGTTGCCTGTGTGTTTATGGTGTAGCAAACACATTACAAGAAAATGATTCCTGGAGATGGGGTGTAGGTGAAAAAGTCAGCTGTGAATATACATGTGCTGTAAGAATTGGACTATACATACCAATTTTTGAATTGCAGATTTGAAAGCATTTTGGACCTGAAGCCTTTGGATGCTGTAGGCTCTGGCAGCAGTGCACGAACTTCCCATGCGACCTTTTTGCGGCAGGACACTCCTACACTGCGAGTTTCTGCAGCAAAGCAACACTACTTAAACCATTCTAGGTATCGACCTGGTTAGTAAAGTACTTTCCTTTTCTTCCTGCACATCCAACAGGACTGTTAAATAGTCATTGGTTAATTAGCTCTTACCCTTTGAACTTGTGGAGGGGGTGGCTACTGCTCAAAGAACACGAGGACAGAAAGAGCTTATAGTGTAGATGGCCATGACGCAAACTACATTCTGGTAGTCTAGCAGTAGAAACAAGGGGACAGGACTGTTGGTACTTCTTCCTCCTGATGGATACTTTATACTTGGAAATGAGTTAGAAAATGTCTTAAGTATTATGTGCCAATATATATTGTATATGTGCCAAACTATTGCCTGTCTACCTAAAAAGTATAAGACTGGTCTTCTGAACTGGAAAAGAAAGTGCCGTGTGTTTACCTCATGAGCGTACAGTATCATGAACAACAGGCAAACTAGTAGTGGGAATGTGCTTTGCTGTAGTTTGGAGTTAAGTAAAATGCAGATCTGTGTCTCTGTAGAGAATCACGTGCCTGTCTTCATGATAACCTCTGCTATACTGACACCAGTGCTGAGGCAGGATGAAGTACAGGAGGCAGACAGCTTGTCTGCCAGTATATAAAATGAGATGAATATGAGTATATTCTTTCTCATAATTTCTGTTCATAAAGGTAGTGTTAGCTGTTTATTCATTTGTAGTACTGCTTCTTCAAAATTAATTAAGCAAACTAGAAGGTATTGTGACAGCAAACTCATTTTTTTTTCCTGAAATAATAATTGACTTCAAAATGTCTCACTTAGATAGGGTTTTGGTAGCTAAAACTTGTTTTACTAGAGAAGATTGTCAAACACATTGATTCCAATACTGCTTTAGCCATATCATAAATTGTGAGTGCATCTTTGAATGTTTGGCACCCTGCTTAAATATGGGAGCTATATTAAATACAAATAATAGGTGTCATCTGAACTGTAGTGCAAACTGTTTGCATAATCTTAGGTTTCAGTAGAGACAAAGAAGAGTACAGTACTATGAGAAATGTAATTGCCATTATTGCCTCTCGAGTTACAATAAAATCTGTGCTTTTATTGGAAGCACAGATTTCATGTACATAGCAAGGTTCACTTTCTGTGACATAAGAACATTTGTGGCCTTGAGGTAAGGACCCTGTCCTGTGATATAAGCAGCCATTGATGCTAGTGGAACTACTTACGTTGTGATGTCTGCAGGATTAGGGTCTGTGGCTAGTTCCAGCATTCCTGTATTATGAGAGGATGGAGAGTGACTCAGAGAGTTATGGAGAGGGGAGAGGTTTTGGCTAAGTTGAACCAGACATCTGCTCTAAGATTGTGCATCAGGTGGAATGAATGTGGGCCTGTATGGCAACAGGGATTTTAGTGAAGTAATCTTTGCATTTTTGCAATATAGGAATAAGCACCAGGAACAGCATAGTCTCCACTTCAAACAAAGAATCTGTTCCATCTAATCACTGGCCCAGTTCCAGTTTGTCTGGGAAAATCTCTGGTTTGGAAGGAAGTACTACCAACAGGATGAATTCAGGTAAGAAGGTGTGCTTAAGACTCTGAGAAATGATAATAAGTGATGTCTGTGCAATTCCCCACTGGTGTATTTTAGAGTCATCCGTTTCCAGAATGTTGTCAGCTCTGAAGACGCCTGCTTACCCTGTCAGTTCTTTGTGTTAAAATCGATTATGAGCTCTCTTCTTTGGGAGACTGCCTTAAACTGAAACATAGTAATTTCTTCTGATGAATCCTCACTAGTCTGAAGTACCCCATGCATAGAACGCTGGACGTCTTAGTTCATCCTGAAATACTTCATCCTACTTTCACTTTCTTTAAGTCATGTTTTCTCGTTTCCAAGCTGTTTTAGTACACCTGGCACATAAATGGCTGTCATTACACGAGGAAGCTGGTATAAATTGAACTAGTCATACACACCACTCTTATTACATGAATTAAGCAAAGAAAATCTATCATTGTGTCTTTCAATTGATGTTGTTTAAAATAATGTAGTAATTACAGTTTGAAAATTCCGACAAAAAGCAAAACTCTTCAGTCTTTCTTCTTCAGTTTTTTTTTGGCATTTGGTATTTCAGGTATTCAATCACTGTTGGTTGAGTTGAAGTAATTAATTTGTAGGTTTTTACATTAGTTTTTTATCAGATATAACATGTTAATAACATGCTGATGTTTTTAGATTGCATCTCTGTATTTCCTCTCTAAACCGTGGCTTCAGGTTTTCATGTGATACAGTTCTGCAGTGCCATATTTCTTTTGCATATGTTGTTTTGAAAGTGTTTTATTGCCAAAGTTTGTGTTGAATCTTGGCCCAAAGAAGCATTTTGGGCCTCTAGAAACTCAGGTTAAAAGAAACCAAAACAACAACTTAAAAAGTTTTGGATGTAATTTAATCAGAAAATCTCTCTTTAAAGATTCAAGATGGGAGAACAGTGTAAATAGCTAAACTACATGGGAACCTTTATATACATATCATGTCTCCTTCCTGGCTCTTTTACAAGCTTTTGCTTCTTTTGTAGCAGCACAGGATGTTTTTTCTTTTTTTTATTTATTACCATCATTTCCCACAATAGGCTTTGCCACTGCTCTAGTACAGCATAGGCACATGTGTGATGGCCCTGCTCTGTGCATGATATCTTGTTTAGTGGCCTTCTGTGCTATAACTCTGGACTGTTTTGTTCCATTTCTATGGCTTATCCTACAGATCAGTCAAATCTGTTCCTGCTCATCTCAGGGACAAGTTGTGTAGCTGGCTTTCAACATTTGAAATGTGAATCTGTACCACATTAAGTTGTGCTCTCACAGGCTTCACTAAGAGCTTTGTGTAGCACCAAAGCCGCAGACTCACTACATAGAAACCATGAGTCAATATATCCTTAGCACATAGTTGCTGAAAGTCAAGCAAGATAATTCCAATTGAAATGCTGAGTTTTGAAAGCTTTGAGGAACCTTGAAAAAGCTGAGATGTCAGAGAGAACTGCCATTCTCTCTGACAGGTACAATTTGTACATGTTTTCCATTCATCTCTAATACAGTCTGATGCTGACAGTCTCCTGAATACAGGAGGTGTATATATAGGAGCTGTGGATTTCAAGTGCCTTCAATTAAGTTCTTGTTTTGGTCAGTCCATGATCAGGCATGGTCTTGAAAATGGTCCTTCAGGGCACATACAAAGACATCTTGTGTCTCCTGTTGACAGTATGGGAGATCCATTGTATTCAAGTGTTCCTTGCCATTTCTTTCAGGGCCCATAGGATCAAGTGGTCCAACGAATGCTTATGTCCCTTCATTTCTGAAGAAGGAAGTAGGTTCTGCTGGGCAGAGGGTTCAGTTAGCACCAGCTGTGGACCCACCTTCCGGTAAGTCTAGTACTAAAGTTCTCTTGGTCCCTTGGTCAGTACTCCAGTAATGCTGTATGTATGCAGCACTGAACTACTTATCTTTGTTTTATTTTATTTGTCAGTATATGAGTGACTGGAAGTATTGTTTGTAACCTTGCAGAACTTCATATGGAGGAGGATTTGGTTTGTGTTTACTTTTGTTTCTTAAATATGTAGGTTTATCTACAGCGTATTTCAATGGGACCTATAGGTTGGTGTGAGAGCTGGCACAGAATTCACACTTGCCAAATCAGTGATGTAAATACTCTGTGTCTGCAAGGTTTTAGGGATTGGGTCTGCTGTTGTTTCACGTCAGCAAACTTTGTTAAAAAAGGAAACTAACCTCCTGAAGAAGTAAGGATCTGGACCTGCACCCAGTTGTTGTTCCGTATGAACAGCTGTCACTGAACCTTTATATCAAAGCATTTTTTGTCCTTTAGATTTTGCGTCTGTGACATCAGTCAGACCCCTTCTTGGATGGCCGTCGTTCAGTTCGCCTACCAAAAGCTCGCCGCGGTTAATGCCTCTCCCTCCGGCAGCGGAGCCGATCCACGGGCGCGTTGACTGGTCTGCGAAGTACGGCGCTCACCGGTGACCTGGGAAGTGCCCTCTGAGCAGTGTGTGCATCCCCGAAACGGTGTCCGGTGTGGGACCATTCATACTGGTTTATATGCCTGTACATTTAAAAGGAACATACCTTCCATGAATGAGACATTTTGAAGAGTTTTTTAACTTCTTTGCATTAATCTGAATGCAATCTTGTACCTTTTTGTAAAAAAATGTTTTGTTATATACTTGGGTCCAGTTATTTTCATAAAAGTGATGCATTTTGTATATAAGGCTTAGGGTATTAGGCATTTTTATACAGTAAATTTTTATAATGAACTTCAAAAAAATTTAAATTTTTTATTAGACTCAACTTTTTTATAGAAGTGGATTAAAAAAAACCATGGTGCAATATTGCAGTGAAGGAGAAGTACTGAGGAAGGGGCATTCATTAGACATTTTCTGAAGTTTTATGTGCTAATTGAGGCTGTGTAAATTCAAGTGATGCCATGTCTCAGTGCCACACTTCTGTTGTCCTATGCTTTTTGCTTCATACTGACATCAGAGGAGTGAGCGACTTAACAGTCTAAACTCCTTCACAGTCACAGTTACTGAGAGACTGCTAAAAGATATTGGGAGGCACCTTTTTTAAATTTATTTTTGCCTTTGAAAGGTTTGTTGTTGGACTGCTATTCAAATTTTACCAAATCTTACTCTTGTTTGGTGAAGGGTAAATTCTCTTCTGTAGATCCATTTTCTGATGCAGTCTTCCTTTTTCCTGCTTAAAAGTTGTTCGTTGGCATTGTTCACTATGAAATAGAATGTGGACCTACCTCTGTTAAATTCCTGTAAATGGTCTAATGATTTCTAAAGAGAAAAAAGAGATTCTGTTTCTTCTTTTTCTTTTGTTGCAAATGTAAGAGCTGAAGCTATATTAAAGAACGTATTAACAATAAATTAATGGAGCTAAGAAAACTGGTTTCAGAGTAACAAAATATTAATGATATGCCAGCAACATAGTTTAAGGAAACAAGATCTATGCAGCTGACTTATTTTTCACAACTGTTTTAAATCACTGCAGTTCTAGATCACTTAAGGAAAAAAAAACAAAACAACCCAGAGGAAATGAGTCAGTCTAACCTTACTTAGGTTTATACTCAGTTCTTTTTCACTCAATGCATCTTCTTTTACAATGGGAAGAATATGTCAACTTCCATAAATTAGGCCCAGAGGCTCTACAGGAAAAAATGGGATCTTTTGTGGTCCTGTTAAGAAAATGTTGTAAAACTGTGGTTGATTTCACTGAAATTGATACAGTTCTTTGAAGAGCAATTTAACTCAGTTTATGAGAGTGTGATTTATATCAAGGTATAGAGAAAAGAATGTATCCCCATAATCTGGTTTACTTCTACTCTGGAAAGAAGTGCCAGAGTCCAGCCATCAGCAGAAGATTCTTCTAGAGCACAGTCAGCATTTGTCTGTTCTGCACCTCCTTCTACAGAAGAAAGATAAAACTGTTCAGTGCTGTGGGAGAAAACCTTCCATAGCTGTGTTCTGGAGCAGTGCTGCCAAAGCTGAAGTGTGCTGAGAAAATGCATCTCTCTGCAGGAGTGTGCAGAAATGCTTATCTTTCTGAGTTCATTTTGTGATCAGCTCAGGAAAATAGTTTATTTATGAGACTTAAATCCAGCCTAAAGGGATCAGAGCAGGTGCAGTTCTCAGCTTCCAGCCATGTCACAGGAACTGAAATAGCTTGTGTGTCAGTGAGATCCTCTCCATGGAATCTGCCAGCACACACAAGGGGCAGCTGCTGTGGTCTTGAGACTGAGAAGAGATTCTCTGGCCTTTTTGGTGCTTCCCATGGTGAACGTGTGGGATTTTGAGGAAACTGTACCCTAGGGTAGGCTGCTGGCTCAGTGCTACAGGGGGAACCACAGGGAGCACTGGTCACTGTTTGCTTCTGTAGGCTCAGCCCACAGTGAGACAGTACAAGACAAGAGAGAGCAAAAGTGTGCATGAAAGACTTACACATGCCAAAGACATCTTGTATGTCCTGCTTCCCTGTTATCTGGGCATAGCAAGTATTAACTCCAAACCATACCTAACTGCTTCCACAGCAGTGATGCCAATGCTTGGTAGTAAAGTAAAACAGCCATTTGATTTCTGAAGCGCACACTGATGGGTGTCTGTGGATTAGTGGAAAGGGAAATATGTATATTTGTGATAGAACTGGAAAGGTAGTTGTTTCTCTTGGAAATAAATACCTGTATTTATGTCTACATAAAATTTAATTTATTTCATCATCAGTTAATTTGTCTCAAGAAGGAACACCCTGAACCTATCCCAGTATCCCTAGGCCTAAGTAGGCTATTTAAGTAGTCTGGTCTTAGTTCCTATGAGTGGAAGGAGACAAGTCATGAGAACAGGCAGCTGAGGCTTGGATTCATCATACCTAAGTGTGAGCTCCTTTGTTGTGAGGTGACTCACCCTTGGTGAGTGAGAATCATGTCAAAAGAAATCTGTCTCATTTGAGAGCATACTAACATTCTGGAGATAGCTGAGGCTCTCCACTGAGGAGGGGGACAACTCTGTGAGGTTCAAGTAACACAGGATGAACCTGAACCTGGCCTGTAGTCTCTGAACCTTTATCAGACTGTCAGTGATTCTTTTGACTATAGCATTCAGGCTTTAGTCTGTCCAGTCAAAAGATTAGAAAAGTAAGTTGTACTTATAATTTTCTTTTTTTTATATCTCCTCCTTTCCTAAGTTAAACCCTTTATTTTTGGGGAAAAAGCTAATAATCTTAACATTGTGAATCACAGCTAGTTTTAACTTAGTGAGAGAAAATTATCTAGATGTAATGGCTGTATCCTTTACTCAAGCACATTCTTACTGAAGCTGGAAAAGTTCTTTTTGAGCAGGATGGAGTTTATGTATTTTACCATGCTGTCTCTGTGCAATACAGATATGGAAAAGATGGAGGTCTTTCTATACTGAAATCTGGACAAGCAGCATATCTGAGAATTTATGATATGTAACCTACTACTTTGTGCTTTAATATTTAGCAGCATCTTTGTGGAAAACGTTTTTAGAATTGTACTGTTTACATTTTCTCAGGTTTAGGCATAACATGTAAAAATAAAGGAGTCTTTGACAGTGGATTCATTTACCTCTGTAATGCAGATTTTCCAAAAAGTAGTGTGTAAGTGCCATGATGTTAACAAGAAGGAAAAAAAAAAAAAGCCAGAAAGTCCATGGTGTTCCTGTATCTGATATGGCTGTTGATATGAGCAGGATGTTCCATAATGTGAGGAGGAAAACATGTACTGAAAAAACATTTTAGAACTTAATATGGAAGGAGGGTGTGGAATTGTCAGGTGTGGAGAAATAATGGTTCTTGTTTATTCAGTGTTTTTGTTCAGAAACATTCTAAATGCTTGTTTCATTCTTTCTGTGCAAATGTCCTGCCCAGAATAAAGTTGTCCTTGAGGAAGCACTGACTGACTGACTTGCTTGCTTTTTTATTCAGTTTTTAATGAAAGCACTTTGGTTTGTTTTTCGTTTGATTGGGGTTTTTTATTAGTTGGGGTTTGGGTTTTTTTTAACAAGCTGCCTTGGAGGGACACTGCACATTCACTGGCCACATGGTTTGAGTCTAAGCCTGTAATTTCTGCAATACGCTGTGAGCTCCCTGTAAAACTGATCACTTAGTTTTCCTTGGCTGTCAGCTCTTCTGAACCTACCTGCAAGACTGAATTATAATATGCATAACCCTTCAGGAGGACAGGCAGCTGAACTAGATTGTTGTGGGTCCCTTTCCAAGGGAAGTTATTCTGTTCTGTTCCTGTTCTATCGTTCTGTCTTGTGTCACCTCTTTAGCCTTCTCCCCTGGCTTTCAAGGCAGTAGAAGCTGAAGATAGTTTATACCTTACAAGCCCAGTGCTCTTGTTAGCTGTTGGGCTGACAAGCACTTGCACAGGTGAAGAACACATTTACGTGGGGAAAAATACATTTACGTTTCCAAGGATTCCAGTTTTACCTGGTTTGGGGTGGGGTGGTGCGTGTGACATGAGCAGCTCACGGATTTGTACGTGAGTGGGGATTTGAAGAAGTGATAAGGGGAAATAAAAGCAGTTTACATACACACAAAACAATGGCAAACTGCCCCATGCAGCGCCTCACTTGGATGTGTCTGCAGTCTTGGAAGCTTGACTACCCTACGTTCTCCTACAAATGGACCTTGAGCTTGTTTGGAGGTTCTAGCAGGGGAGCGCAGCTACCGTATACCCTTGACCGATGAACGGTACCGTCTCTATCGGGGAGGTCGTCCTCTTCGACCGAGCGCGCAGCTTCGGGAGGGACGCACATGGAGCGTTGAGGGAGGAAGGGGACACCCGCCTAGCCAGCCAGATCAGCCGAATCAACCCTGGCGATCAATGGGGTGACAGATGTCGCAGCCAGATCGCCCTCACATCCAGACAATTCGTGCTCCCAAGAAGGTATTTATAGCTCAACATGGGTGGTTCCCTTGAAGTCATGGTTTGTGGAAACAGCTGAAAACCCAGGGACACAGCGCACGGAAGCAACACTTTGCAGCCACAAAACTACCCGAGAGAAACCGGTTCTTAACCCGGTTAAAAATTTTAGCGAAATTCTCTGTGGTGAGCTGCCTTTCCAGAAGGCTTTGCGAAACTTGCAAATTTACGGCTTCCCATTGGCGGCTGCTCCGCTCGTCGCCGTCCCGTGGCCTGGGCGGGGAGGGCTGCAGGCGGGGCCGGCGGCGGTGGCAGGCGGGGCCGGCGGGAGTGCTCAGTGTTGGGGCGTCGTGTGCTCGCTCGGCATCCCCGCTTGACCCTCCGTGTGTGTGAGTAATGCGGGCCCTTGGGATTTCTCTCTTTCTGTTTCCCCCGCCCAGCGGTGCCTGTGGTCGCTTGGCTCGGGTGAGGCAGGGAGCCGGGAGTCTGTGGCGGGCTCAGGCCTCAGCCGTGGGTCCGCTCCCGGTCACGGGCTCGCCGTGTCACGGCACGGACCGCTCGTCATCTCGGGCCTGCCAGGGCCTTGTCCCCGGGAGGAGTGGGAGCTGATGGCCCCGGGGCTGCTGCCTGTCACACGCTGAGCACGGGAGCACCCCGGGTTGGTGCTGCGGGTGCAGAGTGGCAGCGCTGTTGGGCTGCTGAATGCAGGCAGGGAAAATCGGGCCCTAGAGCCCTGGATCTGCGGGGCTGCTCCCCTGGCCCGCTTCACCGATGTTCTTCTGGTCCGTGTTCTCCTTGCGTGCATGAGTCTTCATAAATCACAGTAAGGGAGCAGATTTTTCACAAAGTCCGTTTTCCAGCTGAGGTGTCAGGCTGAGGGGAATGGACAACAACCTACCAGTAATTGCGTCTCCTGGCTGCAAATTGCCATTTTACCCCTTTCCGATGAAGGGCAGAGAAGGGACAAGCTCTTTGCCCATCACCAAGGTGTTCTTTCCATCAGATTTTAGTTCACAGGTTGGACTTTCTTATATGGCGTAGCAGGCTCAGTCCTAGGAACCTGAACCTAGAATGCTACAGCTCATTTCAAAGTTTGTATTTAAAAATATATTAAAGTATTATAAAAGAAGCACCCACCATGCCTTTACCTTCCTTTTTCCTGTGCTGCGTTGAGGTGTGCTGGGCATCAGTGACTTGCTTATGTCCTGTGACCTGTTCACTGGCCTGCTAAGAGCAGGTCTCCAGAAGTGGCACTGAGGCAGAGTGCCTCTTCTGTTTATTTGGTTTTTTTAAACTACAAGTTAAAAATCACCTTTGGCTTTTTTCTTTTTTCTCTGTGAACGTAACTGTATTACAAGTAGCTCCTGTTTAATTTTGTTCTTTTGTGTGGTTCACAGTTATACTTTTCTAATTCACTGCTCTATTTATCAGTGGTAGAGATAGCACTTGGCAATGTTTTAGTTCCCTGTCACTTACCTGAGAGCAATTGGAGGCCCCTGAGCAGGCAGGGGTGGAATAGCCTGGCTTGTTTGAATTCCCATGACCTGATGCAGTCTCCTATTTTGTGTTCTCTTTTCATGTCTGTTGGCTAACAAGCAGATCACTTTGTGCATGCCCAAGGTCTTTTTTTCCCTCTGCTTATGAAGGAGCTCTTGGAACATTGGAAACTGGAGGTTATTGTTCACATGCCAAGAGCCTCTTTTCCAGAATTACTTGAACTGTGGATTGAAGTGACAATAAATCACCTTACAGAGGGAAAACAGCTCTCAGTTGCAGCAAGGACTTGCTTTATAAAGGAGTTCTGCATGTGAAATGCCAGTATGATTAAATGTGATTGCTCTCTTGGCTTATGGCTCTACAGCGGAATCCAGTTCCTGCTGAGGCCTAAACAGTAGTCTATTCAAAAAAAAAAACAATTAATAGCCTCATTTATGAAGTCATTAAAGAACCAAAATGCTGCTTGCAAAGCAGCATTGGATCATCTGAAAAGTCCACAAAGTTTTGCATAGCAACAGGGTTTATTAATAGAAAGAAATGTGACCTCTAGAAGGACAAGTAGTGCAACACTCTGAAACTCTGTATTTTTATCTGGATTATTACAGAAGAAACAGGCCATTCTTCTGAAGTTTCTACTGATCCTGGATCAAGTATTGTGATATTTTTGAAGTTTCTACTGATTGCTGGATCACCACAGCTAGGAAAAAAAATTGAGAGGCTTAAAAGTACATTCCCATGCTTCACCCAAACATGTGGAATTAATGTTTAGATACTTAGATTCCCTGATACAAGGTCTGCCAGTTTTGGAAACTCAGTTTACTGCCTCTTCTCTCTGATCAACACTTGGCTTTTAGTGGTGTCTGTGTAACTTCAGTGCTAAAACTTCTACTTTCTGAAAGTTTTAAGGTTTTTCTTTGTGGTGTTTTTTAAATTTTTTTCTGTTACTTCCTACTTAGCAACTTGATGCTTATTTTTTCCTGAATTTCAGGGGGATGAAAAGTCTATGAAATAGTTTGACTTGACTGTGCAGCAAGAAAAGCAAATCAGTTTAGACTGAAACTTTGCTAAAATATTTCATCAAATATTAACTTAAATTTTTGTTGTGTGATTGACCTGTAAACCATTATTCCAGCTGCCATCAGGTTTTTGTATAATTATTAACTTACTATCTCTTATAACTCTTAGGTAACAGAAAGTTTGAAGTCATGTCCACAAAACCAAAACTTTACTACTTTGATGGAAGAGGCAAGATGGAATCGATTCGTTGGTTGTTGGCTGCAGCTGGGGTCGAGGTTTGTTTTAGAGTTTTTAACTTCTAGCTGCACATTGGTAAGCTTGTCTTTGAGGCAGATCACATGTTATTAGTCAAAAAAGAGAAGGCATCCCAAGATGCAATAGTAAATGAATGTTGGCTATTCAGTGTAATTAAATACTTTTACTTCAGGCACACAAAAGCATGGCTTCATGTTGCATGTTTTCTGAGCAGTGACACTGTAAGCAGGAACACTTGCTTAACACAAGAATGTGTAATCTTTAATTAAGCACTTGATTACTGAGCCAGACCTGCTGAGCTGAAAGATGTGTTCCTCCCATAACAAGTGTTATCTCTGCCCAGTAGAACAGCAATTAATTTTCTTTAGTCTTCCTGTTTTCAGTTCAATGCTCACAGAGATTTTTGTTTTATATTTCACTCCACTGGCTGCATCCTTCATAATAAGCTGTAAGCTTTCATCATTTAGATGAAACTTAGCAGGGTGAAGTGAACCAATTGAACCACTTGTGTAGGGAAATTAGAAATCTCTAAGTACTTGGGTAAAATGGAGAAGGAAGATACCACTTTAATTATTTTCTAATGGTATATAATTTACTTATTCATTTGCTGGCCATCTTGGTGGTAAAGTGGTAATACAGTTTCAGGATACAAAGGACTAGTATTTGCTCTGAGTGCCCTCTTTTACACAATAAGCTGTTACAGTACATTCAGTTACTTGTGTACTGAGCCACAGAATACAAGTTTTTTAAAAAGACCACCCATCTTTTTTTGAAGGCCTTGCAGAAGACAGAACTGTCTGCTTCCCTCCATCATTTGTTCCTATGTTTTAAGTCCCTCTCTCTTCTTTTTTCAAGTTTAAAAAAAAGCTGTTGATAAGTACCAATTACTACATGTTTTTCCATGGAATATTTCTCAGCTTCTCATCAGTAGAAACCTGGGTTCTAAATTTTAGACTGTGATCATACTTGCTATGGTTGAACATTGGCAGTGTGTTAATGTGCCTGATCTTCTGGGGTTTCTCTAGTATAGCAAATCTTAATTACTGAGTGGCACAGATGTTATGAGAGAGGCTGACTGAGCAAGGCATTTAGGGATTGGTAACATCAACCATTTTCTAGTCTCCGTGTTGTGCACTGATCACAGACATGTATGGCACATGCAAACACACACACACGTAGATGTCTAACTTTGGTGTCTTAATCTTGAACTCAGTTTCTCCATAAGGAACACTCATTGGACCAGCCATCCTCAACCATATTGAGTGCAACTACATCCATCTGATCACCAGCAATTCTGTATCTTTCTGTTTCTCATCTTGTGAATGTTTAATCTTCGGGTGTCTGAAACGTGCATCTGTATCAAACTTCCTGCAGGGCTTGCTACTTGCACACTATTTTGTAAAAGCTTTGTTTTAACTTCTGAAGAATTTGTTCCTGTCTAGCTCCCAAATCAAAATACCACACAGTAGATTTTTTTCCACATTCCAGAAAGCATCTTAAGGACAGCCTAGACTGTATTGTTGTTTGTTACACATTGCATTGCCTGTTTAATACCAAAGAAACCATCCTCACTCCAGTTCTTATTGCCTGTTCTTCTGCTAGGGTTGCTCTTAGCAGCATTTATCAAGTGTGATAGCCCAGGAGATACTGCCAGCACTTCTGTCCTTGGTGTGTTCTCCCTTAGAGCCATATCTGAAATGAAAAGAACCATGATGTATATTCTTTTCCTTTTATGGTGCTTTAAAAGTTTATCTCTTCTAGAAATGTGGAAAGATTCTTATTTCCTCTTCTTCCTCATTCTCTTTTGTCAGTTTGAAGAAGAGTTTTTGGAAACCCGAGACCAGTATGAGAAACTCCTGCAAGGTGAGTCCACGTGAAACCTCAAGAAAAGTGAAACCAGACTTAGAGAAGATGCAGGAAGTCTTTGAAGACTTTATGTGTCTTCCTTTCCACACAGAAGAGTAAAACTGAGAGCTCTGAGCAGCTGCAGAGGCTGATTTTTTCCACATGTGGACAGATGAAATTGCAGACTGAGTATCTTTCCAACCTGGAGGGTTTGCCAGGCCTCTGGATTCTTCTGTTCTCCGTTTGTCTATGCATCCCACCTGGTCCCACAAACTTAATCAAGGGCTTCAGTAACCAGAAAAATATGTATCCCAAAATTTCATGTTATGTCCTGATATATCCTAAAGATTGATCATAAGAGAGAAATCTGTGAATCTAATGTTTGCTTCAAATACTGTTTGAATAATGGAACAGAATTTTTTTTTACATTGTTTGGAAGCAGACACTTTTTACTCAGTTGAGATGTTTAGTGTGATTGTCTCCACTGCATTTTAATTTCACTTCAAAAGCTGCTGTACACAGTCCTGACTAAAACTTCAGTGAATATTTTTTAAAGAAAGGATGGTAACCCACAATAATTGTATCTTTCAATTTAATTTGTCTGCACCGCTGTAATTTATTTTTTGCATGGAAGAACTCCATTTTAATACAATGGCTATCCACAGCAAGCTCATCATAAAAGCAGTGTTCCTCTGAAGACAGCGAGAAACATGACACAGAGTTATTACATCACCGAATAATGTGTGTCTGTCCTTTTAGGTGGATCCCTGCTGTTTCAGCAGGTGCCCATGGTGGAGATGGATGGGATGAGGATGGTGCAGACCAGAGCCATCCTCAGCTACATTGCAGCAAAGTACAACCTCTATGGGAAGGACCTGAAGGAGAGAGCCTTGTATGTAACAGTATTACTCTTCTTGAATTTACTGTAGTAGTTCGGATGCATCTACAATTAACTGCATAGTTGCACACACACCTGTGCACAGTCATCTGTGGGCCTCAGTGATTCACAACTTGCACTGAGCTTAAGAAGCCACAGTTAGATGCAAGCCAACTGGTTTTTTCTAACTCAGTTACTTTTCACATAAAAATATTTGAGTCATGGTTTTATCCTGCCTTACTGAAAGATTAATACAGCCTGACACAGGTATTCGAGAGGTGACTGGCATGTAGATGCTGAACTACTTTTGTAACCAGAAAACTCTGGAAAGAAATGGTTCGTTTCTAACTTTTGGCTGCAAAATGAGAGCTGTCATTGACATTATCTGTGGTTGCATGATGTCCCACTGCACTGTAAACAGTGCGTGGTTTAGATCTTTGAGAGCTGGGGAGAGAACAGCTTAAAAACTATTGGTTTCATATGAAATAAAATACATATGAAATTACATCTTGATGTTGTGTCTGTGAAGAAAAAAAAGAATGATGGGGCTGACCCAGTATATAGCATTTTAAATATCCATCTACAGTACAAAACCTGCTCTGATAGCTCTGGGAAAGGGACAATCCTAAGAACTGCTGTATTGATAATTTAGCTGGATGAAGCACTTGGTATGCTACAGACTTCCAACCCCATTATTTATCTATTTGGCACTACTTGGACTTTGGATGAAATTCTGACGGTGGGATACATCCAGACAATTAAGTCAGTTGGGAATGACTCCTTGTGGTGCTGTGTGTTTCTTTGGTGATTGTGAAGTGATCTGTAACACCAAAGTTATACACTTAATCTCTGTGCAATCCTGTTTAAGCCAGCACAGTGAAACAAGTAAAGAGCCAAAATCACTACAAGACTCCCACTGTGACCTATTTTTTTAATTGCAGAAATAATTTCCATGAGAGGGTGTGTTTGAGATTGCTTAAAAAATCATTTGTCAGATCACACTGCAGCCTGGAAAGGAGTAGGCAGGGGGGAAGGCACCATGACAGGGGGATGGGATATTCAATGTTTACTATCCTAAAACAAATATAAGGTAATTCCGCTTTGGAAGGTGCCTTCTATTTAAGGTTTTTGTTTGCTTTGGTTTTAAGGATTGATATGTATGTTGGAGGAACTGATGACCTTATGGGCTTCATTTTGATGTTCCCTTTCTTATCAGCAGAGGATAAAGAGAAACAACGTGCCTTAATAGTTCAAAAGGCGACAAGCAGGTATTTCCCAGTGTATGAAAAGGTATGGAGGAGGATCATTTTCTTCCCTGATTCTGGAGGGATAACAATGGGAACACTGGGTATTTCACCACAACCAGAAACAGAAATGTCAGTGCAGTACTCTACACCAGAACATCCATTTTGTCTGTTGGCTGGAGGGGATTCAGAGCAGTATCAGGTCTGTTGGGGTGGGTCAACCCAAGAGACTTCAATGTATTTTCTTCCCCATGTCCAGGTGAGGAAGGAAGTGATAGAGCAGCTTTGATGGACTTCTGGTACCCAGGCAGGGCCAACCCCACCACAGTAATTTGCATTGCAGAAGCAGTGCTAATTGTCTTCGTTGTTTAACATTTCAAATACATCCCAATTGGGTTTTTGTAAACACAGTAATATACAGCTATCACTGCTGACTTCTAGCCTTACTGGAATCTTGCTGTTTCTGTAACTGATAATTTGAGAGATAGGACCCAAGAGGCACTCTCAATGGAAATTAATATGCATGGACAGGATGATCTAGCAGGAATAGCTCCTCTCCATTTTAAACACTAAAGAGAAAACAGTTTTTCACTTTGCAAGGTCTCCTGTAGGTGGTTGCCAGGGTGCATTCTGCCCTATATTCCACTTGTTGCATCTTAGCCCTAATGCTTTAGGCTGATCACCTCTCTTTTATACTCTGTTTTCTCATTGAAGCTGTAAAAGTGTATAGAAAAAATCCAGATAAATTAGACTTGAAAGATGTGAATACCAAGAAGGTATCTAACCCTATAGTCTAGTACACAAGGTTACCTAGAGCTGTAGGAAGAAAGGATTAGTAAGAAAAACGCTGGGATTCTAGATTTCAGCTGTAAAATGATCTGGGACTGCTGTTATATCCCCTGTTCCTCCTGTTAGCTGCATGGGAGAGAAGGATGAAAAGGAGACAATAGTGTTGTCAAAGAAGGTGTGCCTATGAATTTTGAAAACATGAACCTCAGCTGGCTATCCAACCTGTTTTCATCTATGACATTTCTAGATTTTGAAAGACCATGGGCAGGACTTCCTTGTTGGCAACAATTTTAGCTGGGCGGATGTTCATCTTCTTGAAGCCATTTTAATGGTAGAAGAGAAGAAGTCAGATGTGCTCTCAGGCTTTCCTCAGTTACAGGTACCTTGCACTAACGAGACGCTCATATGGCTATAAATGTGATAAATTACATTTCAAAGTCTGTTCTATGTAAATAATTCCACAAACATTTGTTACTTTTTCATTGTAGTCTTGCTTTTCCTGCTTTAGGAAGAGCCTTTTAAGATGTTTCATCTAGAGAAACTTATTTTCTGGAGTAACCCCTGTACACATCTGAAGAAATGCACCCTCCCTTTTTTTGACTCTCACCAGTTCTGTGATACTGCTAAGTGGAATATATTTTCTGGATCACAAGAACAACCTGAGTGATGTACATATTAGAAACCACAGATAACTGAACACTTCATCCCATATCAATACAAGACAGTGGCTCATTTGTTACTGTGGAAAATAAAAGGATTTAAGTGAGTGGGAGTAAAATTCATCCACACTTGAAACCATATTTCTCTCCACATACAGCTTGTTAAAGGATGTTACACAAATCAGTAAAATAGGGTTTTTTCTTGTGTTATTTTCTGTTCTTTAAATACCATGTATTTACTGTTTTCCTTTTAGGCATTTAAAGCAAGGATAAGCAACATCCCCGCCATCAAGAAATTTCTTGAGCCGGGAAGCCAGAGGAAACCTGTTCCTGATGATAAATATGTAGAGACTGTCAGGAGAGTTCTCCGCATGTATTATGATATAAAAGCAAATTAGTTTGCCTGGCTGCAGGCTGTAAGGGAACTGCCAGATTGCACATGTCCAATTACGCTGCGAAGGAAGGCGAACGGGTGTTCCAGAGGTGTTTCAATGGGCAATCACACAAAATACAGCAGGCAGGTGTCTTTTATAACACTTCAATACTAGCCTGTTTTCTCCTTAATTCATCTCAAGATTTTTTCTGGTAATTTTAAGCAGCTGACGTGGCAGCAACCACACCATCTTCCTAGAGATTGTGGAAGAGCAGAAAAGAGAAATGTGAGTTGCTGACTGATAGCTTCAGTGTGTCGTGCTGTTTCTGAGGACATTTTTCTAGATCCAGATCAGATTTTTATATGCTGATTGCTTCCAATGTAGGCCCTTATTCTTCTTTAATATCACTGTTGGCAAATGAAACAAGTGGTTTTTAAAGAAAGTAGGAGTGAGGTCTTTCTCCTGCCAGTTCTGCTGGACATCAGTGACTTGTCTAAATGTCAACACTGTGCCTTTATAACTAAACTGCACTTTTATTACTGAATTAGGAAATAAACAGACTGCCAAATGATGTTTTTGTTTAACTGCTCTATCTAGAGGACAAATCAAATAAACTTTTTATATAGTCACATTGTCCTGTTGTCTTGTGAATGAAAGCTGGGGCTTGCAAACATAATTTTTACTTTTCCTGGAGGATAAATTATTTTTATTTGATATGAGGAGGATCATGGAAAGATATGAGGATGCCTCATGGAAAGATATACTTTGTTTGTGCTTATAAACAAGAGCTTTTTATTTGATATGAGGAGGATCATTGTTAAACCACATGCCTCATGGAAAGATATACTTTGTTTGTGCTTATAAACAAGAGAATGGAGATGTGAAGGAGAGGTAGTAAACCATCACACAAACCTGATATAGCTCCTATCTAGTACCAATCAAACTCAAAATGTTTCTTTTCCTCTTTTTTTAAATTATATGGTTTCCACAGACAGCTAGACAAAGGAATTTAAAATTGTTTTAATCACTTCAAAAAATGGCACTTAGGTTATGAAAAGTTGCTCTGCAGGATGTTACCTTGGTGATTCATATTTGTTATTTATAGTTCTACATTAATGACATGGCTTACAAGAAAAGACTTGTCCTTAATCTCTAATGGCCCTGGTTTATTCCTGTGTTAGCTGGGTTGAGAAATAACATGCTGCTTGACCTGGGATCTAGTAAGTACACTCATCTGATATCTGAACAAATTCCCCACTTGAGAGCTCGTCAGACGCCCCAGCTTCAGCACGATTGAAGTTTTCAGTGCTACAAACACTTTCCCCTCACTGCCAGGCATACAAAATTTGTATTGACCTACAGTAATTTATCAGCTAATGTAATGTCAATTGCAATTACAGTTCAGTCTTTGGTTTAATGTCAGATTAGTTCATTAGAAAAGTTTGGAAAACACTGTAGTTGTTGATCATAATTCCTTTGCTAAGTGAACTTTTTCTCCACAAACTGAGGAAAGTTGCTGTGTAATGCTGTTCAGGAGTTCCACAAGCAAAGATGCAGCAGATGCCTCTGCCAGTACTTTTTGGTGATTAGCCTAACAGCTGATGGCTATTCCTATTAGTAAATAGAGTGCTACAACAGCAATGAATGTGAGCAGAAGAACAACTAGCACTGAAGCCTGTATGTGTTTGGGACAGGGTTAACTTGAGCATAGCTCAAGAGTGGTTATGTGGACTGACTGAATGTCATTTAAACAGCATTCGGTGCACTCTCAAAGCACATTTTCCAGTTTAATTTCATCCAGAAAGAATCCAGTTTGTACACTCCAAGATCACACTATGATGGGAGCCAAAGCACAGTTAAGAAATTAATTTTTAAAACACCCTCCTGTTCCAGACCACTAATGTAGACATACCCTGTAAGGCTCCAGGTCTGGCCCAGGTGATGATTCATTTCCTGGTATTTCAGTAAATTGTTGATAAGAACTTAAAATTTTGTTTATTTTTACTTCTCTTCTTGGTTTGTTGTGAAATTAAAAATACCTAAAAGTGTTTGTGCATCGTGAGGACTTCTCCATACAAAATTACAGCCATGTTTGCTTATGCAAGGCTACACAGTGCTGTGGGTTAACTCTGTCTGATAACCTCCTTATTTTGATATTCCCATGCAGGTTTGTCAATTTACTTTCTAATCTTATGTCAACAGCAGCAGGTTTGCAAACTGTTAGTGTGATCTTCCATATTCTGGGCAAACTAGGGATGAAATCAGCTTAAATTTAAGTCTTTTACAGAATACCTTTTTTTTACTGAGCAACCTTGAGTCCTGGTAAGCATTCTTGCAGTAATTATTTAGGGTGTAAGCTGACTTCAGTAATGCTTTTATAACACATTAGAGCTCTTCAGTTCTATTACCAGCCTTCAAGACTGTGGTAAACAAGTAAAATGTAGATGTTTGTTGCTGTTTCTCCTATGTGTCTCAGTGTTGCCAGCCCAATAATTCCTGGCTAAATATTACTGCCAGCCCAATAATTCCTGGCTAAATATTACTTAACTCACAGTAACCTCAAGATTTGTTTCACTCTTACCTGTCACAAATCACTTAGGTGTTAGATAGGCAGTTTTGATTTGTTCTCCAAGAAGGACCAGGCATTTTCTTCAGCTCTTGCTCTGGTAAGACCTATTTATGTACAAATCAGCCTGAGCATCATTCTGATAGCCAAGTAAATTATGCTTGGTGGAGGTAAGGGTTGTGATCCTATACAACTATTTTTGGTTTAAAACACTCCACCAATGGAATGACAAGTTCATTTCCATTGAAAACACTGGGATAATTCTCACTGATTTACTAGCAAGTACAGGATATTTGGTTTAGTACAAGTTATGGTTTCTGATGACTGTATGGGATCTTTACTTCTGCTTACATTGTGCTTCCCGATGTTTTGATAGATTGCAGTTAATTCCAGTGGAACTCTACTATTTGTTTAAGCCCATCTGAAAGTGCAAAAGAAGCATCAGCTTTTCATAGGAATTTTTCAAGTCTCCTGCATGCTTCTTGTGGCACTTCTCACCTGAGTATAGCAACACTAACCAAAAAAAAAAAAAAAAAAAAGAGCAAAACTAGCCAGGTGGACTGACTGGAGGATTCCTAACGCTGCTTCTAGCAAGCACTTAGCAGATATTCCTGTTTAGTGTCACTTGCCAATTGCCACCACATGCAAAATAGACTTGATTTGGGGAAAATTTCTTTATTACCAATTAATATAGTTGGTGAGAAACAAAAACTTGAACACCTTCCTCCCACATCTTTTCTTCCCCGACTCAACCTCTCTCCTTTGTTCCAGACTCCTCTGCCTTCTCCCCTCCTTCCCTTCGTGCATTCGCACGCACTGTCTCCACTCTTTCCCTGGCACTCTGCCGTGCAGCGTCTGGCCGCGTTACACTCATTCCCCACTCCCGGCCCGGCCGTGGCCCAGCCGCGCCCTGCGGGGGCCGGTTGGATCCGGCTGGATCCGGCCGGAACCGGCCGTGTCCGGCTGGAGCAGCCCCGGCCTCCCCTCACGGAGCCGCCGCTGGAACCAATGCCCCGTACGGCCGTGCCTGCTTTAAAAAGCTGGTCCCTCAGCGGGTTTCCAAGCGGTTCGCGGGGATCACTGGGACCTGCTGGTGCTGGCCACACCTTTGAGTTCCAAGAGGGCAGAGTTCGCGTTCCAGAGGCGCGCGTGGACACCAGGGCGCCTGGACACTGCGGGTGCAGAGAGGTTCCCAGGCAGCTGCACTCGGAACCCAGCCTTGCTCTTAGGAAAGGCTATTTGATTTGCTGCTGGGGAAAAAATTTGAGTAGTAGGCGTGTCCTCGGATTCCCTTTCGGGGACTCGGGAGCTCTGGGCATGGAATTAGCCTGACATTACTTTTCCTGCCCCCAGGTGGGGCCCTGCGCTTTTCGCAGGGGCCCTCGGTGGGCTCTGGCTGGAGCGAGGCGATGCATCCCGGAGCCATCCTCAGCCACAGAGCCCCAAAAGTACACCCGCCGCGGGAAGGACCTGAGGGACAGAGCCTGCTGCAGCAGCTTCAAACCTTTAAGCATCAGATGCTCGGTTTTAACAAGTGACTACTTTTGGAGTCAGTGGCATGAGAATGCAATTTATCTGTAAGGCATGGTTGACCTCTGAGCGCCTAAGTGGAAGCGTGTCTTGCAAGCCGCAAGCCATCTGCCCTCTGCAGAGGACAGAGAAAATGATATATATGCACATTTCCAGCAGCTCCTTCCAGGCTTTGTTTCAGTGTTGTTGGAATTTCTCATGTTGCAGCCTGTGCCTGTTGTCTGCTCCACTTTCACTATGGCCCTCTGAGGAGAGGTCCTGGCCCTCTGCAACTACATATTAGGTAGGTGAAGAGAGAAACCAGATCCTTGGCACTTCACTATTTCATGTTTTTATCAAAGGGCTAAAAGAAAAATTAGCACATTTCATAGTATATAAAGTGATAATGGGTAGGAAAGTTGAAACTCAGTGATCTGAATCAGTATTCCATACATACATACATAGGAATTAATAAACCAGGGGCATTTAGTCTAGTTAAATGCATTTTGCCTAAATTCCCACTGATGTGAGAAGCAGGAACTCAGAAGAGGAGGAGCTGAAGAACACGGTGGATAATCAGCCATATGCCAGCTCCCAGTGTGCCACTGACATCTGAAAATGCTAATGTGACCTTGGTGTATAGTGGAATTTTCAAATAGCATCATTGTGTGTCTGACTCTGACATCTCTGACCCAAGAGCTACCTAGCTGTAGGCATCACTTAATGCAGAACAGGGGACAATTTTCTAGTTATGCTGCAGATTTGTGTTGCTTACCCTACAAGCACTACTTTTCATTTCAGACCAATTTCAACACTGCAGCTCTACCATTTAATCTCACACCTGGAAATGGCATCCAAAAGAAGATGGAATGGAATGTTAGGCTTTCTGGCAAGAGAGAGGGAGCTTCACCTCATCATTCAGCCTCAGATGCCAGAGCTCAGTACATACCACCCCAGCCCTGTCAGCCTACTTGGATACACATTAGTTCAAGCAGAGAATATCCTTCCAGTTGCTTTCTCAAGGACATAGTTATCTTATTTAACTCTTGCTATTATTCAGCAGACAGTTTTGCTGCAGAACATTACTCAAGGGGTGATCTGGGAGACAACTCTTCTGGATTTCTTTGAAAACCTGATTTGAACAATTATTTCAGAAAGGGTTGCACAGAGACAGCTTTGAAATAAGCAGTGCAACTCTCATACTTTTCAGAGCATCTTGTTGTTCTGTGTTCTCCCAAAGTATGCCCACACAACAAAACAGAGCTGTGACAGGAGTGTTTGTGTCTTAATTAAACAGGCACACTATTTTTCTAGTGCCATGGTGCTGTTTTGCTAATAGTAACAGTTGCTAAAATGAAGGCAGTGTAGGGCTGAGGCTGGAGAACATGTATCTGCAGGGGTCATTTTTACCCTATAAGACACCACGTAAGACTTCACTAGTTGGATAATGTCCTGGCTGTCCTTGAAGCAAGAGGGATGCCTCTTCAAAACTGACAAATGAACTGCATAGGTTAGGACCTCAAAGATTTTTGTGCCTTTTCTGCTCATTCCAATATAGAAGATTAGGAATCTCCACTTTCAGTAGTGAAACATATTCCCATCAACACTTTTCTAACATGAGTGTACATCCTGTATTTTATTATTACAACTTCATTACCTTGGTATAGAGACCACAGGCAGTTTCAGCATGGTTCTCAAGCACACCCAAGCCATCTTTCAGTATTGGTGCTATGGTAAGGACAGTTCAGGTCTCTGTGTACATCCATTCAGTTTAACCTCTCACCATGCAGGCTGATGAAAAGAGGCCTATGTATGTGTAAGGGAGCTGTTGTCTTTGTGAACTGGGTGCTGAGGTCTATAGTGCTGCTGACTAGCTGGGCAAGATGAACCAGATTCCTATTCCATTATCAAACTTTCATTGAGAACTTCCCCTTGAGAACAAGAGAACAAAAGCACATGAAGGTTTGTATCTGACCCAATGCACTTGTCTTTCCCTTCACTTTTTATGTATCTTGTACCATATCACCAATTTCTTCTGATATTTTTTTCATTTGTAATTTTTATGGAAATGTAACAACTGTTGTACATGTGCAACCTACAGAACTGACTGAGGATGCAGAAATAAAACTGAAATGAAGGTTTAGATTGTTAATAACTTCATTGCCTCTGTTCTGGAGCAAAACTCAGAAAACTCATTAGGTTTTAAATTCCTGTAAAAATTTTTCTGCTTGAATCAAGCTGGTTACAATCTTTCATATCTGTCAAACTTCTGTGGACAGAAGTCCAGCAACTGATGGAAGCTGTCCTGATGGTAGAATAGAAGGTGCCCTCCATTCTCTCAAAGTTTCCTTTTCTGCGGGAAATTAAATCAAATAGTTATGCACATATTCATTTCCAGCTTTGAGGAAGACAGAATGCTTGCCAGTTTCTTGCACTCTTACAGAATGCAGATCTAATCAAGAGAGTACCAGGAAATACAATCAACAGAGTAAAATACAAAGACTACAAAAGGAAAAAAGCAGAGCTGAGAAATGCATGTGAGAAGTGAATTACAAATCAATTAGTTACAAAAATTGTTAGATAAATTACTTTCTATGCATGTGATTTCGGTATGAGAGACAGAGAAAGGCTTTCATCTCCCCTATCTTATGATAGAAGTAGAATAACACAATTAAATATAAGCAGCAAAATACAAGCAAATAAAAGCAACATTTTCACACTAAGACAGTGGATCTCATTGTTAAAGGATATCATCGAGGCCAGGAATTTAAATGGATGTAAGTAATGTGACGGATATAATGAACGCAGTGAACTCTTGAAAGATATTGAACATTTAGGGGCTAAACAGTTCTCCAAAAGTGCAAAAAGATTAAACTGTGAAAGGCAGGTTATCCCAGTATTGATCACTGTATGGTTTTAAATCTTGTGTTTTAGGCTTGTAGCATCTGACTTGCATCTGCTTTTCTCTGAAGTTGGACCATCTGCTCTTAGGAAACTGCCTCCTCCCTCATCATCAGCCCTGAGTCACCATCTGATGAAGCTGATTTCACAGGCTTTTGTTGGCTTGATTAAAGGTTTCCCAACCCCTGTTCTTAGTAGTAGAAAACAAAAAGATTTTTTAAACCTCAGTTTAGGTTATTAGTAGTTTTAGTTGTAATAATGCACATAAAGTGAGAATCTTAGAAAGACCCCCAGAACACAACAGATACCAAATAGAGAAAACATACACTAATACAAGTTTCTATGAAAAATATGACGTAATTACAATATAAGAGCTATTTAAGTTAAATATTTTACAATTAAATTTGTAAAATGTACTAAAGGTATGTTCCAGTTGTCTTTGAAACCTTGATCTTGCCTATCTCATGCCTCCATAAAGCAGCCCTTTGACCATGTTGAGATAGATCAATTAAGACCAAACAATCCAAATAACAATGTACTGAAACCAGCTCTCCATTTAAACTCTCCTCACAGCACTACAGTGGGTGTAAATCAGAAGTAGTGTTTTTGTTTTCAGATTTTCCTATGCCAGTGATCCAGCTGAGTCAAAGAGCGCAGGGAAATATGTGTGAGGATTACTACAGGCTTGGTTAACCTTGCTTTGGGCAGTCAGTAAAGCTTCCTTCACAGAACCTGAAGGTTTGCAGCAAGGCTTAAGTGATGCATGACTTGTTCAAACTGTTCATCTGGACTCAGATTATGTTTATTACAGTGGTGTCATGTGTCAGTTTAGGAGCATGCATGTTTAGGAGTGCAGTAAGCAGCATGGGGAGAATCCTACCCTTCTGTGTTTAATTCTTTGGTGGCATTTAGTGATGTACTCTGAGAAGATGCTGCAATCAGGCATCATTCCCCAGGCCAGCTGCTTAGTGTTTTGTGAGGATTGCAGGTAGGTACATTTTGAGAAGACTTTGAATTTACCTCATCTACAGCACAAGGAAGTGTGTCTGCAGAGCACAGTGGGAGGGTGGCATGCCAGGGCATGGTACACTCACTAGTTAAAATCTGCCTTTGCCCAAGCCCAGATCACTTCAGCGGCACCTGGGCCCTGTGCCCATTTCTTGAATAGTCATGGGTGTGGCTTAACAAATCGTGTGTAAAAGAAAGGTATTTTCTTTCCTCCTGTAGAGGTTTACAGAAGGTTACTATTCAAGTTATAGTTAATAGCAACCTCCTTGATATGATTACCTTCAGATTCCAAAGGAGCTTTGTAATTACATTATGAAAGGCTGGAAGCAAAATAAAAAGAGAACAAGGGAGAAAGTCTTTCTGCCAAACAGGAATGGGTAGAAGGGGAACAGCAAACAAATCTGGATGTGGCCATATTCAGCAAATCCAAAAAGTATCAGAATGCTTTGCTTGACCACTCAGTCATCCCTGACCCTTAAATTAGGGATCTCTCCCTCCCATTCTTTGCCACCAAGCCTACTGCTGTCCTTGGCCGCTTTTGAGACTGCAGAGAACAAAGAGACTACAGTTACATGCGTGCTCTTCTGCAGTCTCTGCTCCTGAACCAACTCTTGCACTCAGGTGCATGCTGATATTAAAGACCTCAAAAACAGGAATAGATTAATATAATAGATTAATTCAATACTGCCATCATGGATAGGTATGAACAAATGCTTCTTTCCTGCTCAGCTATCTCTGTATGTGCTGCATTCCTACTGGAACCACATCTGCATTACACAGGGATCACTGTGTACCGTGCCCATGCTTGGTACAGCATGCATTTACATCATGTTCAGATATTCCAAAATAGGGTACTTATTCTGCCAGCTGGGCATTGTTCTGGGCCTCTGCTGACCCATATTTAGGAATTTTCTCGAGGGTAGCCTGGTAGTACCTGGGTTTGACATAGAAAAAATACAGACACATGCATTTAATGTTATGCTTTATTCAGTATATTATCAAACTTATGCGAGAATAGAATTAGGCAAAGTGTAAAGAAGCACCATACAGTTTGGTTTTGCTGGCAGCTCAACCTCTGAAGCACATAAATTACAAATTTGCTGGAAGCCTCTAAGGGAAGTGCATCCTCTGGAAGAAACTGCCAACAATTGCCAGGCAAAGAAACCATTACAAAACTCCAGCTGTGAGGAAAATGTTACCTGGAGACTTTTGTCCTGAGATTCCCTATAGTGAGGTGCTGTGTTAGTAGAGCCATGGCTTTAGACAGACAAATACAATTTTGATAACAGTGTGAGTTCTGTGAATAGATCTTCATATTAATTGTACTGATGTCTGCTGCAGGGGTATAAAGCAATGCCCAACATCACTTGTGGGTGTGTGCTAGAGGAAAGAACCTTATCTTGGCACGCAAATCCCATTTTCCATTTGCTGTGCTATCCTTGTGTCTGTTCACATCCACTTTCAGTTTTGGGATTTTTAGCTGAAATACAGACAGAAAAGCTGTAACAGTTACTTCTCGTGGGTAAGAAAATCATCATTTATTTAATCTCTAAGTGTTAGCCATGTACATTCCATTTCAAAAATTAGTGCTATTTCCTTGAGACTAGGGTGGGTTTTGACATAAACTGCTCGTCCATTTTTTATATCAAGTAAGCTTGATACTGTATTTCAAAGTAATTGATCCCTGTTATTCCATACTTTGAGTAACTTCTCTATGCCATACAGCAGCAAAAATAAAAACCTGCCAAATAATTAAATAAGCTTTGAAACTTTAGTGTTTTTTTTCTTTAAATGATTACTATTACCTTAAATATGACCCAGAAAAAAAAAATCTATTATTTCCTCAGTGTTTTCAAATGTCTTGCTCTTGTATTTGGGTAAAATGCCCCCAGAATTCCAAGAGAACATTTCAAATAGATGGCTACCTTAGAAACTGTGAGGTTAGTGTCATGGTGTAGTCAAATCAGCAAACAAAGACTGTCTCCGTTTGGGTGTCAGTTTTCAGAGCAGTCTTTAAACTGGGTAGTGTCAGTTTAAGAGCATCGGGAGGCTTTTTTCTCTTATTGGGTATGGCTGGAAACTCCCCCAAGCTGCAAAGTTTAAACAGCCCTGGGGAACCTGCCTGTGCTGGGTGGAGTCTGAGTTCAGGTCAGAAGGTAAGAACTTAACAATTCCTTTGTTAAAGCATTTGCATGACTATTTTAAAGTGAAACAACGAAGTCTTTTAGGGCATCTGCTGGTGTATTGTAAATTCTCTGCTCTCCTTGGTCTGTCTGTGTGCCAGGTAGACTGAAAATGGCTTAACAGTTATTCACCAGTGGAAGCTGCAGGAGAGAAAATGCTAGGTGTTTTAATCAGGAAATTAATTCTGTGGTGCAATCTAGAGCTAACCAAGGCAGGCACAAAACAACTGAGAGGACAAAGTGCAAACCTTGAGCACTGTGTTATTTCTTCTGATTTTGAGGAGGACAGCTGGCCTGTGGGATATGCTGGACTCTAATCTCAACTCCAGGGCTAAACAGCACTTTATGCTGAGTGCTCCTGTTTTTGCAAAATGATGATCTCTTAAATTTTTCTTGCATCCCTAAGATGTATGCTCAGAGAAATTGTGGACAGGCATGTTGCTAAGGCTCACAAGGCAATAGGAAACAGGATAGGAATATGGATTTTAGACAAAAACAATTTTAAAAAATTGTATATAGTCAAATTTTGTGTTGAGGCTTTTGCTAGATATCAGGGCAGTGTATGTGAGATGCAATTATTTATTTTGCTGCAGCATAAATTCATGACTTGAACCAGTTCTTCAGCAGTGTCTGGGTTAGTGCAGCAGTCTCCAAATGTCCTGAGTAGTGATGTATTTTGGCTATAGGACTCATATATCACTTAATTATAATTAGAAGGTTTTCCATGCCTGTTCTCAACAGTCCCTGGACATTTGGCCATTTGTACCCTTTGCAAGAGTTCATTTTCTTCAGCAGGAGCAGTCAGACATAGCTTTTCAGAAGTAAGAAACTCCAGTTCATACTGTGGGACTACTTGTAAGCCTGGTGGTTTGTACTGTGTTATGCAATATATGTTAGACCATTTTCTATCTATTTTTTTGTCGTTCTGCCATATGGTCTGGCTGATGAATGATAACATATTTCTCTGGCAATTGTATAACTTTAACAGTTCAGTAATTCATGGAGCATTTGATATTTTACTTCCTCTAGAAGTCATAAATCCGCACAGCTTCCATAGCTGCCCAGTGGCATGGCATGCTCCAAATGCATATTGAGAATCAGCATAAATATGTACAGACTCATAACAGCTGATAGATCTTTGTTAATGCAATTAATTCAGCTGCTTGTGTGCTCAGCTTTGGACTGAGTGGTGGACTGCTTCATTTGCAGTAGTTAGTCAATAACCTGTATTCCAGTTGCTGCTCAGATAATATGACCACCCACAAATAACAATTCTGGATTGGTATTTAGAAACAGCACATCTGTTACATCTGCTTGAGCCTTTTAGGCTTCAGGGGTGGTTACTTCACAGCTGTTGAGTCATTCCTTCCCCAGGAGGAAGTAGTGTAGTGGGATTTGGCATGTTGGTTACTATCCCAGAGGCTGTTCCTTGCCCTTCTTGTGCAAACAAGGTGAATGATTTACCACAGTCCAGCAGTCCCAGGACAAATGCGGCCGGCCTCAAAATCCTGAATGTCTACCTTGTGTGTTGCCCAGTGAATAGGTTCTTCATCACCTTAGGTTATCAGTATCAGGGGTTTTTCTATTTCCTTGAAAGAGCTGTCTGGTGAAGGCAGAATCCAACTTCTGAAGAGTATTAGTTTTTAGTATGTGGTCTTGGAAGATTTTGAGTTATTTCAATATGATTTTCAGATAATCATATCTGGCTGAACATATGTAACACAGAGATTCTATACTTCTATTACACAAATTTTAAGTTGTATAGAAAGGCCCAATGACCATTTTTAATTAAGGCAAACAGTAAGGAATGAGTGACAGCTATACAAGATTACTTGGCTACTAATAAAACATCAACATATTCTATCAAAAATGGATCAACTTTTTTAAACAGCACATCGTGAAAGTCTCTTTGTAAAACTAGAAAAATAGAAAAATGGGTCTTAGTAAAACTAGACCTCAGTGGAGGTCTGAGTGAAATCCTGAGGCCTTGGCTCTGTAGGCTGCATCTTTCCCCAAATAAATGAAAAAAGGTGTTGAGAGTCTGGATGCTTTTTTAACGTATAAGTTGTCAAGTTTCTAGTTGAGGGCTGTATCTTCTGATCTTTAGGGAATCTCAGGTGTCAGTACTCACAGGGGAATGAGCAACTAAACTGAGCCCACCAGACAAGGCTTGGGTCCAGACCCACTAACTGAAAGTATCTGCCTGTGAGCTACAGGTGTCAGGTCCTGTATAGTCAATGGAGATGCATTCAGCAGCTCTAGAGATTAAGGCAACTTTTAACCAAAGCTCAAGAGGTTTTTTTTGTGGTTTTTTTTTTTTTTTTGGTTGGTTGTGGGTTTGGTGGTGTTTTGGGGGTGTTGGGTTTATTTGGTTTTTTTTTTAATTTTCTTTTCTTTATTTTATTTTTTGTTGTTTTTGTTCTTTTGTTTTTGGGTTTTTTCTATGTGTGGGAAGATTAAGATAACTAAAATCCGCTCAGAGCTGACAGAGTTTTTTAATTTAAAAAAAAACTTATGGCAAATTTTAATTCTATGTTTGTCATTGTTCTTCTCACATAATTTAATGCCACATAAAATCTCTTGTTCATGTGAAATGTTAAAATGATGCCTGAGGCTTCTTACTCCTACTGTTCTTCTGCAAACAAAAGATAATGTTTCCAGAAGGACTGAGGTTCACATACTTGATATTTCAGTCGTTGGCCTTTTTAGTTAAAGAAAAAGTCTTATTTACTGTAAGTTTCTGTGTGTTATAAGTTGGGGCAATGTGTGTTGAAATGATACAGATGCAACGAAGCTGAAAAGTATGATAATGAAAGAAGCACTAGGTAGTTGTTGTGAACTATGTTGATAAACTGCCCTGCAATGAAAAGTAGTCACACAAGATGCAGAAACTAATAAAACACTGTCCCTAGAGCCAAACTTTGTAATTAGGAGCAGCTATTCACAGTTTAAAACTGAACATACTTTTTCTATAATGTGTATTTGGATTATATTTACTAAATTACCCCAAATACCCCTATTTATTGTAGTAATATGGCTCAGTTCTTACTGGAATTGCTCAAGGGAGAACTCTCAATCTTGTTTTTTATTTAAGTCAAGTTTGGGCAAAATATGTTCCAAATGTACTCCTACAAAGCACTCTGGCTTGAAGAAAACATACCACTGAAGTGTCCTGAGCCTGATTCAAGTAAGAAATGTCAAGTGGATGCAAGGTATGACACATGTAATGTTTCAGTTTTGACTTTAACTCTGGGAAACCTGGAGTCATCTGGAAATTTTTTAAGTGAGGCACTCTGAGCCATTAGGATGTGATTAGGAGATCTGTTTTAAAGGGTTTTTTTCCCTTCTGATCATCGGCGTATGATACAAGCATCTGTATGATACAAGCATCTATTCATGTTGTTTTAGTAATTAGGGCACGAAGCACAGGAATTTAGGCCTGGATGTAGAAATGCTTGTGCTCACATGTGAGCAGTGCCTGTCCAGCTGGTTGCCCCGTGTGTGAAACAGCTCTGTACGATGCGCTGTCTCTGCTGCGCGCTCTGGGAGAGGTGCGGTTACAGCAAAGCATGGACAGCCTCGATGTGCCGGTCCCTCTGGAAACACAGGACCCCCATGCCCAGGGGGTGCTTCTCAGGGCACGTGAAGCAAATGCAGCTAGGTTCCACATCTGGCTTTGAGGGGCACCTCAAGGCTGCCATAAGCAGCAAGGAAACGGGCTGTAGCCATGCAGGACGGCCAAGGATCCTGTTTCATGTTTCATCCTGTTTCATGGGATAAAGAGAATATCAACAATTCGTTCACCCCTATTTGAGGAAAGAAACATATTGCATATGAAGCTGCCAAATGCACATATGGCAAACAAAGCTAGACAAATTTCAGCCTACTGGTAAAACATGTTTTCCTTTCCTTCTTTTCTTCTTTTCAGTGATGATGATGGCAATGAGGGTGAGTGAGTAATTCCCCTGAGGATGTGGCAGGATTTTCAGTAGCTTTGTATAATTTTCTTCATAGGCAGCAGTGTTCCCCCTGTAGCTAGGGACTTATACCACGTGTTTAAACAGGTCTGTGTTTGCTAGCAATCATAAGAAACCTCCCCAGCAGCGCTGGGGAAGGCTTTACAGATTCACACATCTTTCCTTTCCTAGCACTGGCTGTGTGGTGTCACTGGTCTGTCTCTCATTTTATGTTTTGAACCAAATGGAGTTTAAACTTCAACAAGCATAGCGAGAATAAAAGGTGCTATCTCCCCTCAAAATAACCGTGCTTAAAACACCAGTTTTATGAGATACTGTTTCCTGCTTAGTATCTTTCAGGGAACCAGGAGCTCAGGATCATGTCAGGGAAGCCCAGGCTTACCTACTTGAATGGAAGGGGCCGGATGGAGTCCATACGATGGCTGTTGGCAGCAGCTGGTGTGGAGGTTGGTTGATGTTTTCAGTAGAGTGTAACAGGCTGGTGTTCTCTACTTTCCTTGATGAGGGACAATTTAACATGCATGTGGTGAATAAAAGCTGCATGAGAGTGGCTAAATTCTTTTGTCCAGTGGAACTGCATGTTTGCAACTACCTTGTTCCATGGTTGATGCTTGGGGTGCAAACTCAGTGGCATTTAGAGTTTATTAGAAGTAGTAGCAATTTCCTGAAGTGATTAATCATAAGGGGACAAAATGGGATTTTTTTTTTAAAGGGCGTTTATTAATTGTAAGTTATCTAGCTGGGCTAAACCACCTTAACTCAGTCTTATTAAATTTGCAGTTGCAGTGCGTGTAAGCTGGGGTGGGGTTAGAAATATTTGATGTACTTTGTGCTTCCCTTGGCACTGGCTCCAACCTGTCTTGTTTCTGTAGATGCCTGCACTCTGTTTGTGCTCGGTCTTCAGTTATTTCTGAATCAGTGCACTGATGCAGAAGTGTCCAGGCCCTGCTTCTGCTCCCCATCAGCTGCCAGGGTGTGTGAGGGATCCTTGGGACATCCACTCCTAAACAGTGCAGCTGAAGATCTGGCCCATTACCTTTTGCTTGACTCAGTAATTCTGGGCATGGTTATGTGCTATGACTTAACAGAAGAAAAATGTTCAAATACAGCAGTGTGACACAGTTCTCACTCCTTTTTCAGTTTGAAGAAGTTTATTTGGAAACAAAAGAGCAGTATGACAAGTTAATCAAAGGTAAGAATCCTGACACCTGAGACTTCAAAGGTGCTTCAGAATAATTGTCCAACCTAGCTAAACTTATGGTTTGAAGTAGTTTCTTTAAACCAGTGGAAACTTCTGGGTGCACACCTTGAATAGTGCAGTACTAGTTTTGAGTAACCTGCTATTTCCAGTGCCAAGTAACTGGTATAAGCTAAAAGCCGGAGCTTCTGTGTTTATTGTAGTACATTAAACAGGCAAACACTTCTACTTAATACAACTTACTTACCTGTGCTGTTGAATTGTTAGCATGGTACCTGGCACATTTTTAGTCCAAGACAATAGAACTCCCTGAGCCTGAGATGTGAAGCTTCCCCTAGTTAAAAAACATGGAGCTAGCAGGGAGACCTGTGGAAAGCCTGGAAACTGGAAAGGCAATTCTTCCCACACACCAGTGCAGACCTCTACCCACTGCCCTTGATATCTGGTCAGAACAAATCCAGCAGTGAACCCCTCTACAGACACCCTGGAAAGAGAAGACCTTCCTGCCAGAATGGGGAAGGAGCTGGGACAGTGAGGAGCAGTAGAGAGTGCATATGCCCCACATTTTACCTGCTGTCCAAGACACTTGAGAGAAACCTCAGAGCAGGCTGGGCTTGCCAAGCCATACAAGGAGACTTGGAAGAGGTCTTGCCTGCATTGTGGCTGAACTTAGAAGGAAAAAGCTGTGTCTAAAGATATTCTGTCAGGTAAAACAAAAGTGAACAAAAATAAGATAGAAGTGGTATTAAGTAGATCAGAATTAAATTTGCAGATCCAGTTTGCTGGGACTTTTACAATATGGGAGGACAGTGCAGTGTACACAAACCAATTATAGCTCCAAATGTAAGAGCACAGGTACTGAAAGCCCAAATCTCTATATCCTTCACAAGAGTAGGTTATCTAGAAAGAGTGATGCTGTAACCAGGATTGTATCTGAGCTTACTGATATCCAGAGAGAAGAATTAAATGGTGGTGAAAAGGACAGGGAATTTTTATAAAGAAGATCAAGCGTTTTATGTCAATATAGTGAGCTTAAGATGATGAGAACACAAAGAAAAAAGGTGTGATTTAATAGAATGGGTTGAAGAAAGATAGATAAATTAGTCATCCTGATAAATGGGCCTCTGGAATGTTGCCAGTTGTGCAGGGTGGGACTCAACAGGAGTAACTCCACATTACTTCTCCCTTAAACTTTTCTTCTCTCCCTACCAACATGATTTTTGACAGTTTCCTGTGTTTAGACACTACCACATCGTTAGACTGGCCCAGGCATGACTTTGGCCTGTGCCAGCTGGTGATCCTCCAGGCAATGCCCCAGCAGTGTCAGGATGATGCCTAGGCCAGGGGGTGTTCCCAACGGGCAGCTTGCAGAGACAGCTGTTTTGGAGGCAAGGAGAGTTAAATAGCTTTGGCCTGTGCAGACCTGTACCTGTTGTTCTGCGGCATGACTAACCTGGCACAATCTGTGGAGCCAAAGGTTGCCCAGGTACCACTTGGGCATCAGTGAGCTCTGCTGGTTGGTTACAAATAGCAGGTGATTGTTTTTTAACATGTGCTGCATAGGCCACCTTTGGACAGCACAAGCTAATTCCTGGAATTACTGGTAAACTCCTTTTAATCCTGCATATGTATTGTGTGCTGTGGTTATGTGAAGTGGTTCTCCCTAGGAAATGAGGGAGGAGAGGCAGTCCACTACTGATTTTAAGAGGGACTCCTCTTTTCTGTAGATAAGAAACAAATGGTGTATTCAGTCATATTTGCTGTGTTGCTTTTTGTCAAGGACCAGAAGGACAAATGGTATTTTGCACTTCACATCTTTCTGCTGAAAAATATCCTTCCAGATCTATTAGTTTTCCTATTCTATTGTTTCTGCTAGATAGGTACCAAGTAATGTTTCTTCCTTAAGATGTAGAGGTGTGTTCTGGAAAGACAAGAACACACATGAAATTTCTGTGAATGTTTACAAGAAGCAAATATGAGCTATTTGTTGCGGCAGAGATAACTACTCTTTGAATTTCAACTGTAAATTAATAATGTAGAATGAGTGAAGAATATTAATTCTAGCCTAGCAAGGTACTTTAACAGCTCTGGAGAAAAAGACAAGCAGATGTGCCTGTTGAAATGAACCTTCATATCTGAAAGAAGGATTCACCAAACAGATGTAAATTGAGCAATTAAAAGAAATCATTGACTTTGAGCAATGCAAGTGGCAGATGCCTATTTGGATTTGGAGTTCTGCTGTGATTATAAACAGGGCAGGATTGTTCTCTGGATGCCATTAGTGTTTAGATGGAGGAGGGAGTGTCTCCAAAACCAGTGAATTAGTCCAGCAGAACACTGGTCTAGAATAGACTGACTTTCCAATGCTAAATCTCTGTGTGTATACTTAGCTTTCAGAGCTGCCTCGCTGAAAGCTCAGACAATTGCTCCTACCAGCACCAGTAGAAAATGGGACTATAAAGATGTTTCTATATAGGCCTAAATTGTTGTAGAATGGCACTGAGACTAGGCCTGTAAAATCTATGGGGGACACTCAAACTCTGGTCCTGAAGTGACTGTGTGAAACTTATTCAGACACCAACAGCTATCAAGGCTCTGCCTTCAGCTCTGTAGCTTCAGGATGTTTAAAGTGGCCTGACCCCTTCCTCTATTCTTGCAGCTTGGTCTTGCTGCAGTACTACTCGTGTATGTCCTGACAGGGAATTGATCTACATTCAAAATAATTGGATTTTTTTAAAGCTGCAGCTCGGTCTTGCTGCAGGACTACTCCTGTATGTCCCTGACAGGGAATTGATCTACATTCAAAAGAATTGGATTTTTTTAAAGTTCAGATTTACTAGGTATCTTTATTCTCCTCCTATTCCTTGGGTTGGAAGTGCGGGTTCAGGCTTTTCCTGCCAGCATGAGGCAGGCTCCAGAAATGCAGAGGTACAGGAGAGCCAACTCCCACTAGCCAGTGAAGCTGTGTCAATGCTGCCAAGCCCAGGGCCCAGCTGTGCTGTGGTGACTTTGCTACAGGAGTGTGATGCAGGCTGTTTGATCTTCCTCACAATGTTAGTTGAGTGCTGTGAGCTTTACAGTTAGAGCAAGACATCAGCGGTCTCCTACACTGAAAGAGAAATGTGCTCAGTGTCTCACTCTCCTGTACACCCTGCAGGAGGAACTAACACTTTCCTTCACTTTTCCACCCTAGATGGATTCCTGCTCTTCCAGCAAGTGCCCCTGGTTGAGATTGATGGGATGAAGATGGTGCAGACCAGAGCCATCATGAGCTACATAGCAGGGAAATACAATCTGTATGGGAAAGACTTGAAGGAGAGAGCCCTGTATGTAACACCTCCTATCACGAACAGAGCAGTCTGTTATTTGATAGCTACATTATATAAACCAAATTCAATCCTATAAATCCATATAAAGGCATCAAAAAGGCTAACAATAAGATTTAACCACTGCTTCTGAAATGCTCCCGACAGAAGTAGGCTTCTGTTCTTTTAGAAAAATATTCAGGTTTCATTCATGCTTAGTTTTGGCTGTGAAAATTGGCACTATGTTGGTGATATAAAATTCCTTAGTAAATTGCCTTAGTTAATTGGAAAACAGATGAAATAACTTCTGTGCTTTTTTCTACCATCTTTCCCTGACCAATAGGATTGACATGTATGTGGAGGGAATATCAGATCTGATGCAAATGATTTTGATGTTTCCTTTCTCTCCACCTGATGCAAAGGAGAAAAATATTGAGTCAATTAAGGAGAGAGCAACTAACAGGTATTTTCCAGTCTTTGAAAAGGTAAGTGACAGCAAGTATGTGTCTATCGAACTTGCAATTATCCAAAAAGCTTCTGCAAAATAAGAATTCATTTGTAGTGTAGGTCAATCCTCAGCTGCTTTGGCTATCAAAAAAGGGGAAATACATTTTCCTCTCTTTGTTTGCTTGTGTTGTCAGGCCTGTCGTATTTGACCATTTGTGAAGCAATATGTTCTCAGCTGTACAGAAAAACTTTTCACTAAAAGTTTTGTGGTTATATTTCTTGAAGGAACTGTTCTATACTTATATTTGTTTAAAGCCCATCTCTCTGCCATACTTAATTTCATTTAGAAAAGTTTCACTGGAGGAGTGCAAAAATCCTTTGTACACAAATCCTATAGAGAGGAGTACTTTGGTAAAACTTCAGTCACAGAGTTACAAAACAATAAGCCAAACCCATATGATTCATGCATCTGGCAATATTTCCCACTTTTGTAATATTGATCTAGCAAAACAATAATAAAGGCTGAACAGCACACAAGTTCTTAGCACTGAAATAGTCTGTTCCCAAAGGCAGGGATTTTCTTTAGTTAGTTGTTGCAGTTCTGCATTTCTGTTTGCTTCCTCATATCAGCACTGGACATCACTTCACATGAAACATCTAAATGGGAGTTGTATGAATTCTTTAAATTGCTTGTTGCTTCCTCCATTACCCCTTTTTCTAATTCTAGGTCTCTTACTAGTCTACTTAAGCATGTGGTTTTGTTCCTGGTGCCCATCATCATTCATTATTACTGAGTGACCAAAGTCTGTAGTCTGTGTCCTAGAACACAAAATGAACAAAATTTCATTTTTTCTCAGCAATAGTGAAATTTAGGCTCAGCTTCAGCTGAAAAGTTCACCCTGAAATTTCAGATAGAATTGCTGCTCAGCTCTGCAGCTGTGCTGTAAGGCTTAGCTGCCAAGAATGCTCATATGCCTCACTCTCATCTGCAGCCCAATTTTTCTTGTCTCCTCCAGGTTTTGAAACAACATGGCCAAGACTTTCTTGTGGGCAACAAATTCAGCTGGGCAGATGTTCAGCTAATGGAAGCCATTTTAGCAGTGGAGGAGAAAGTTCCTGATGTGCTCTCAGGGTTTCCTCAGTTGAAGGTAATTTAATTACTGAGTATGCTGTATTCAGGAGCTAGAGGTCAGTCCTGAAGTAATAATTTCCCCATGCTGGGTAAATCACATTTTTGTGGCCAGAATTCCTCTCTTGCTCTGTTTTTTAATTTTTTAATTTTTATTTCTAGGTGTTTAAAACCAAAATGAGCAATATGCCTACAATTAAGAAGTTTCTGCAGCCTGGAAGCCCAAGGAAACCCCCACCAGATGCCCATTATGTAGAAACTGTGTTGAAGATTTTTAAGAAATGAAAGGCTTGCCACCTTTGGAGAGACCCAAAATGCTGGGAGAGCTGGGGAAAGCAGAGCAGCAACTCCAAACCCTAAACCAAAAGAGAAGGAAGCTCAGCAAATTAGTATTGTTTTAGTTAAAACCAGTGCTAGAGGAAGAAAGCAACCCATACTAGAAATAAAGCATTCTATTACACTGGCAATGTGACAGCAGCTTTGTCTTTATTGATATCAAATGCTTGGCAAAACACGAAAACAAAGGACTATGGAGGCAAAGAACTATTTGTAGGGTAGGGAATTTATTAATTTTGAAAAAGAACAATGCAGTGTTAGTATTGTCAGAATGTAACTTGTTGCAGAAGATAGCTTCTACATTAAAAGAAGCTCGGGATAAGAGCTGTGGAAGAGAAGGAAGAGAAGACTCGCAGCACCACTTACCCTTTAAAGAAGTAGACTTGTTTCAAATTTCCTTTTTTAAATTTAAAGCTTGTGGGTGAATTGGATTTTTAAGGTCTCTCAGTAAAGTTTTTGCAAAACTGATTACTTTTCTCTATAAATCGGGTATTTTAAACCTTGTGTATTATCATACCAGCTACTCACAAGCTGCTTACAAAGACATTACCTCTTGAGAGCAAAGTGTTGTGAAAGCAAGGTGCGGTCTGTTTTGCAGACTCTGGCAAGGCAGAGGGGGTTTATTTCTACACATTTAGGACAGAACACAGAGCAACAGATACTCAGGTTCCTTTGAATTTCAAATAAAAATATTTACAGCAGACAGTAACAGCCTGTGAAGTGGCCTGATACAACAGAGAAGCAGCTGCTTAGAAGGAAACTGTGTTCCAACTACTGTCAGTAACCAGATCTGATGCTTAATAGTCTATGACGTGAGTGAAGAAAAAAAGAGATTAGAAAAAATATGGGAAAATTAATCTGAGGGAGAAAACAGAAGAATACCATTTCCCACAATAGCTCAGTGAAGAGACATTTCCGAAAGTCAAGTTATGAGACAGATTATATTGGACTTAGTTGCCTGAAAACTCAATGGATACTTGTGACAGAACAGGACATGTCAGTGTTGGGATTAAATCACACTCTGAAGAGAGTGCTCCTCTCCCCTACCTCTAAGGGAAGGCCCAAGGGACTGGCTTCATCTAAACTTTTAACTATCTCAGCTGAGACAGAATAATTTTGAGTAGTTCAGCTGTAACTGAGGAGCATGCTGAGGGATTCCTCCTGAATTTGGACCTATTGGAAGGAGACTAGACAGCTAGACGAGATGTAGGTGTCTACAAAGTTAGGTGAGATGGGTTTTCCTGGGTTGTCTACACTATCATTAACTTTCAGGCTTTAACTCATGTTTCCGTACCCTGTGGTCACTAGACTCAGGATGTCTCCTGGAGTTTATCAGGAGCAGGCCTACGAATGGTGAATCCAGACATGTTACCTCAGAGGGACTTTGGGTTTGTGAAAGGGCCAGGTGCACCTTGGTGCACGTCACTACATGGAGAGCTTGCATCTCCTACATTATCCTAAATTCTGTGTCATAAGTCATATGTGTCCAGAAATGTGGGAAACACTGTTTCCAGCAGTGTCAGAGGCTGGATAGAAGACTTTCCCAAGATGTAAGGAGGGGACAGAGGGACATAGAGCCCTAACCAGAACGGGGAGCTACAAGAGGTGCTCTTGGTCAGGGGTCCCCTTTTGTGAAGCCTGGCTCCCCGGAGGTGCCATGTGGGATACAGTGTTCCACCTGGGGACTAGGCACCTCCTAAAAGACAATGCATTGTAGTGGTGACTCTTTTGATGCCCTGTCCTGTGATTCTAGCTCTAAATAAATTATTAAGCTTATTTCATTGTCAAGCGTGGAACACATCAACACAACAGGTACCAACAGTGAGGACTGATAGGATGAGGCTTGTTTTCAGCTACCAAGCAATGAAGTGGGCATAGAGGAAGGACATGAAGGAGACAGCCTGCTATATTGTAACTGGAGGTGATGGCTACAACAATTAACCAGGTAGATTAGATAGGCAGGAAGGTACATGGGAATGTATGCTGTATTGACTTCTTGAAATCCACTCAGTTGTCCAAAGAAAGCAGTCAGGAGGGCAGAGTGCAATTTGCCTTCTGATGCTACACTTCATTCACTGTTTCTTACAGCTGTCTCTGGTGTGTGTTTTTACTGAGTCACATTCAGATAAACCTTTTTCAATGAAAAAAAACCCAAGCAAGATGGCCAGAGAGGATTCAGCAGAAGTGACCTGAAGGAATATACACTAAACAAGGCATAGAAGCTTGTGAAAGATTTGTGCTGAAGTAGTTGATTTCATTTATGTAAAGTGGCAATGTGTAAAAAGTAAAAAACCAGAAAACATTAGAATAAAAGTGTGATTGACATAGCAGCATTCTTTTAATCTGAGTGAGCTTTTCAGCTGTTACAATTGTTTTTAGTAAGCATGGTACCCAGCAATGAAACGAGGAGGCATATTACCCTTTCGTGCTAAAACAGATGTTTCTAATGATCTGATTTATTTTACATATCTAGATTGTCAGCATGAGTCAGCAATTTATTTTCTGTAGGTGAGAAGTAACTTAACAGAGAAAATTGGTTTTGTTCGTTTAAGAAAGAGAAGTATCCTGTTTGCAGAGAGCTGTTTGGAAAACTCGGTGTAGGAGGGGCTCCAGAGTTACATAATCTTAAGGCATGCCTTTAGTGCATTGCTGTGTGTAATATATGTTATAGAATAATTTGTGCTAAAGGAAATTAAAAACCACAGCATTTTGTGTACTAGTCAGTGTCAGGCAACAAGCAGTAATAGGCTAAGTGATGGGATGGAGATTCAAACACCAGGAGGATGACTGTCTCCAGACATGTATATTTCAGGTGATTTTTTTTTTTTTTGTCTGACAAGACCCCAGGCTTGATAGGCATCATCAGTAAGATAATATTCGAAGCCATAAGTTTATCCCAGAAGATTTTCACCTGACAGCATTTCAGCAATTATTCAGCAGTTCCGAGAAATGAAGCAGCAAAAAAGAAAAAACTACAATATTATGCTAAGGAAGGGACCCTTCCAGAGCCCAAAAGACTGTATAAAACAAACCCCTTAGAAATGACATTTGGAAACCCATGGGGACTTTGGTGTGATGGAGGCCAAATCCTGGGTTTCCCTGACTCTGATTGCCTGGCTCAGAGTTGAATTGCTTGTAGCTTTTTCCAAATTTATACTTTGATTATTTAATATATTCCCTTATTTATTAAATTGGAGTATTCATTAATAACACTGAGCAAGCCAGCAGTGACCACGAGCTAAGCCTAAGCAGGGGCGAGTTCCTGTCTCACATGCATGGTGTGAAATCCCGCTGGTAGCACCAGCCCCATAGCTAGAGAGAGAAGAAATTTAAAACGCCAGCAGTAGAACCTGGCTTGTTAATCTTCTGACCACAGAGGTCAAGCAGCTGCAATTCTGAGTACCTTCAGTTAAATTCCAATGTCCAAAACAGCAAGAGATTATTATTGCAGCCACAATGTAGTTTACCTTTGGAGATACTGGATATTGTAAACCACGAAGCAATTTTTACCTCTGACATATTCTGATACTAAACCAGAGATGGTGTATTGGGAATCTGTGTGTTTCAAGATCCAGGGGTTTCTGTCACAGTGATGGCCAATGTGACTAAAAGCTTTTATATATTATTTATGTTATAAAAAATAAAATTGCCCAAAACACATCTCCTTAGGCCTCCATTACCTAAATGAAGAAGAAGCTTAATCATGGAATGACAACTGAACTTTTCTTCTCTCCTTCCTACAGTTTGAAGAATCTTACCTGGAAAAAAAGGAGGATCTGACCAAGTTACAGAAGGGTAAGTTTCCCTCACTTTTAGACAATAACAGCAGCAATAGTTAAAATAAGAAGAATCAGAATTAAAATTAGAATTAGAGTTACTTGTTTATTTCACCTAACAATTCTTAGGTCTTAGTGCCCTTAAAAATAAGATCTTTTCACTGGATTGTGCATGAGGTCTCAGAGGTGCACAGTGCAGTGTGCTCTGTTAGGTGGCATCATCCACCCAGGTGCTTCAAGCTTCACTGAATCACAGAAGGGCTGAGGCCAGAAGGGACCTCTCCAGATTGCCTACTCCACCTCCCCTCTTCAAGCCAAGCCCCCTCCAGCCTGTTACCCAGGACCATGTCCAGCTGGGGTTTGAGTGTCTCCAAGGATGGAGAATTCACAGCTTCTCTGGGCAACTCACACATTCAAAGAGCCTTTCTTGAAGTTCAGATGGTTGACTCTCCTTTGCTTCAGCTTCTGTCCATGGCCTTCCATCCTATGGCAATAGAGGCTTTTGTCATCAGATGATCTTAAAATTCATTAGCAACTTAGGTTGCCTACACAGTTGTTGTTTTATGATCCCTATGAGAGCAGAGTTCCAGATTTCTGAGTTAACCTGTTCCTCTGCTGCATTCCTGCCTCCCAAGGCAACAACCCACTGTGCTGGCTTCAGCTTCTGTCTCCCTGAACATGGTAATCATGTTTCCTTTAAAGCAAATTGCATTTCTGTGCTCTTCACCTGGCCAGTCAAAAGCAATCTGAGTTAGGGACAGTATTTGCAGTCCTGCTGTCCTGTAGGAATAATGACTTGGTCCCCCTGTTACCGGCTGCCTTTCAAAAAGTATTTTGGGAGACAAGCAGAGAGCTAAATGCACACTTACAAAGAGGGACATAGCTGATCAGTTTTCTGAGTCAAGAAATATGATTCCCTAAAGCAAAAACACTTCCTAAATCTCTGATCTGATACCTCTTTCTGGAGGTATTTTTGCTTCTTTCGGGCTAAGACAAGGCTTCTGCATGCAAAAGCATTACATGGCTCCAGCCTGACTCCAAGTGATATTTGGGTCTTGCAGGAATCTCATGGAACTCACTTGTTGTTCCGCGTTCATGCCTGTACAGATGAGATGCCATTTGTAAAGTCAAGAAAATAGTCCCAAAGATCTTTTATTCTTTTATATTCATTCTTATTCATATATTCTCTATTATTCACATTATATGTTGGCCAGTCCTTAGAAAGTCCAGATGTTTTAGGAAAACATGACAGAAACTGGCCGGACCAGATCCTTCAGTCCTTCTTGTCTCTCTTAACCTCCATGGAAATCACCTGTGCCAGAGCCATGCAGTGCATGTATTTCTGAGTGTGTGACAGATAAAAGTTCTGCATTTGGCTGTTTCCTCAAATCTGGAATTTCCACAAGTACTAA